GTGTTCTACGTACAAGTCCTTGTGTTTCAATCATAATATCACCTCCACACTCCTTTCCTTCAGCAACTCTGCAGTCACTGCTACCTCACATGCTCAACAGAAGTAGATGCACATGTATTYACCCTGACCCAAACAGTAGCACAGTATTACAACCAGCTCTCTATGTGCATTAACTGATTGCCTGCCCGAGGGGGCTGCCTGAGGGCTGAGCTCAGCAGGAACTCTCTGGGAACAAAGAATGGTTCCCTGCTGGTGTTTCTGGTTTGCCAGCTCCAGGTGACAACCCAGACACAGCAGCTGGGTCCATGTGAGAGGCACAGAGAGCACTGACAGAGACACAGGCACCCTGCAAGGGGATCTCACTGTGGCACACACCAGACTACAGGGACAAAACCCAAAAGACTCTTCTGGCAATCAGATCACTTCCCAGCTGACACTGAGATCAGTGAAGTAAAGGTGTATTCAAAACAGTGGCAGTCTCTGCACTAGGTGATGATTTTGCCCATTCTGTGCAATCTATCTTTTTTTCTAATCTTTCTTTAGAAAATCCTTTGTGGATGTAAATGATTATCCTTCTTAGAAAACTGATTTATTCCTCTATGAAATATATGTCTGTCTTTAGTCACATGAGAACACACCATTGGCAAGTTGAGCCTACAAAACCATTGATTGATTTTCCTTGAAGGCCCTTCTCTCTTGCATGGCTTCCAGTAAAGCAAAGGCCCTGAAAGGTGCAGCAGCTTTATAGAAGACATAAATGTTTATGTCACAGGATCTGAAGGTAGCGACATGAATCCACTTCTCCACTCCTTCCTGTACAACTCCTGGCTTGCTCTCCTTGGCTTCCCACAGTAAAAGACACTCCCCTGAGGCAGTGTGGACTCAGAATAATTTTCCCCTTTTGAACAGTGGCAGTCCTGCCAGCCACTCTGCACGGAAAGTGCCTTTAAGAGAGCACATTAGAAATGTTGATCCCAATTACTAACCCAGGGGATAATCCAAATTGTCTGGAGTTCTGCTGATGCCAGTGAGAATTTACCTGCACCCCAAGCACACYGAGGTCCATCCAGGTGCACCTCCCAAAGACAGGGGAGCTCATTGCACATGAGCAAACAGAGCCAGGCTCTGGAAGGTTGGCACCTTCCCCCATAAAGCACCTTCTCTGAGGCACACCTTGCTTCATAACCAGCACAATAAACACTTTCTAACTTACCTGTAACTGAGCCACAATGAAATCATCTCAGGATGAAGAACTTTTATTTCTAGGTAAAGTGTAAGTTTTGTCTGGCTATGGATAAAATTGTAGTTTAACCAGCCCTAAAGGTGGCTGGTAGGTAGTAAAGAGGCCGTGCTCTCTGGTTCCTACTGTACCAAATGCATCCTCTAGCTGAAAGAAAACAGTGATTATCAGAAAGTCAATTGTCATTCTGCCTCTTTAGAAAAATTCCTATTAAAGATAAAGCCAATTTTAATTAGATTAAGTATCCAATTACTGTAATTACATTTTAAAAAAATTCACATCATGAGGATGACCCTTTTAAAAAGGGTTACAAGAATAATTAGTGTATTCATATTAACCAAAATGTATTGGATAATATTTATACCCAGAAGGCAAAGTACATTACACATATTTCACCTTTGGGGAAAGCTTGCAAATGTTTTGGCAGTGGTATGAATATTTATAGGGAAGAGCGTGCTTTAGCAAGATTATATGAGAAAGCATTTATATGCTCACAAATTTTTACCCAAGGGTAAAGTATACATAAAATGTAGTGCAGAGATTATGGATATGCAAAGTGTGATTTAAGCGCGGAATTGATATCAGTTTGTTTAATTAATTGAAGCAGAATACTACTTCCCTTATTTTTATTTTTTTTGGGTGACAGAATGGCCACATAATTAATCTGAGCTTTCTTTCTGCTGATCAATAACACCAAGAAATATGCCAGGAAAGGGTGTTCCCTCTGCAAGGCATCACCCTGCCCATGGGTTAAACCATGCCCTTTAATGTTTTCCTGATCACACCGTGCCAGCAATCCCATCTGCTGCTGGATGGTACCTGAACAACTCACCACGGAGTTGGAAAACATGCAGGCAGCCTCCAGTCAACACGCCCATTTTAGGGGCAAATCCTGCAGCTCTCAGTGAGGGAAAGACTTGAAGAGATGCCAAATAGGTTTGCTCATGCACAGACCACAAGAAACCACATCCTTGTTCTAGGCTGCCCCCAGAAGGCACAGAAGATGTGACCCATTTTTGCTGTTGAGGTGCAGCACCAGCTCAGCACAAGGGTGGCAGCTGTGTCCGCTCTTGTGCTGTGCACAAAGTTCTTGCTGGAGACCAGAGCTCAACACACCACTGAGACCCTCCCAGAGACCTCTGCCCATGCAGCCCAGTCAGCGATTTCTGCCGGCTCTGCAGCTAATCAACAGTTTTGGGAATAGCAAGGAATTACATTCTTCCTCAGAAAAAATGCTCTCAGCCTTTTAACTGGTGTTTGAATTTACCTACAACTGCAGCCTTTGGCTCTTTACTACTAAGACACTCTGCAGTGAGAATGCACAGAAGCAATTCCCTAATTTAGGTGAGAGAAGCTGCGATAGCACAGCTTTTGACAAGACATATGAGGAAGCTCTGTGTCATTTGTTAGTTTGATTAAGTTAAGAAATTTCTTCCTGATTTACATTTATATCAGAGATTGTTCATTTTTATAGCAATTTATATGTGGCCAGTCAAGAATGAGCAGAAAAAAAAAAAAAAAAAAAAAGACAGGCTTTAAATGATTCATTCAAGTTCTTTCACATTAATTTTCTCTTCACTGAATTATCAGCAATCATTCTTGAGCATTCATGCCTTTCCTGTTTTCAGAACTGCTGAATATTGCTTTACAAAATCCAGAGTTTGGTATTCCTTAGGCTATAAACTGCGGCTCATGTAGATCCCTACCTACACATGTGAAAAAGGTTCTAGCTTCTGAAGATGACCCTTCCTTCATAAAAGGTAAAATTTAAAGTAAGTTGCAGAGGAGTGGTTGCTTCAATGCTGATGTTGCCAGTGTGGACAGCAGCATGAATGTTTACAATTTCCACAACTGACTCTGTCATTTGCTGGGTTTCGAGCTTTCATGCAAAATAAAATAGACCAAGAATATCCTTAGGGAAAAAGCATAAAAATAAGCAAAACCCCCTACTTCTGATTCATACTGGCTAAATTTCCTTTAAAGCTTTGCCACACAGTAAGGAGAAACTGGAAATGTCAGTCACCATGGAGTAACAGATAGGTAACTGAAACAAGATGAGGGTTAAATAAATAGGAATAAAATTAAATTAATTTCTAACATTCCTTACCAGAAGTTCAAAAGAAATAATTGGTAGGAGATTTCCATTGATACCTACTGAACATCTATTACACTGGCTGGAGGGAATTTTGTGATTTTTCTGAATACTGCAAAATGCCAGAGAACATCAATGACAGAATGAACTAATCATTTGTTGTTAATGAACTGATGACTCTTTTCTGATCACGGMAAAGCTCCTTTTGATGCCCCTCGCTCTTAACTTGACCTCTGGAGGCACCAAGAGCTGCTGCCAATTTTAGGAAAGAGCAGGAACAGCTCCCACAACTCTTATTTCCAGGACCAGTGTAGGGACTCCCAGAAATCCTACTGTGAGGAGCTTGAGACCTGGTGAATGAGTGATGGGTGAAGGAGCTGTRGAAGGAGACAGTCCAGCCAGGTTGGTTTGTAAGGGTTGGTGGGGCCTGATCAAGGACTGCTGTCTCCCCAGGGTTGAGGTAAGGAAGGATTTCTGGAATTGTCTATCCAGTTCCAGCTGTTCAGACCCCTTTGAAATAATTTAAGAGCCTGTGGTATTCTACTGCTGTAGTGGCCTGCAGCGTTAGTCAAAGCAATTCTGCTCTTAGCTCAAGTCTAATTAAGGGTAGCTCTTGCGTAAAGTGAGTTAAATTCAGTAGTCACAGCCCAGACCCCATGGAAAATAGTCTAATTCAACTACAGTAATACAGTGTAATATAAATATAATGGAGATACAAAACCATATAATTTAATTTGACATGACTGGCAGTTTTTTGCTTAAGTCAGTGAAAAAGAACAAGTACAAACACTGAACTTCCCTCTTCAATCTTTTATTGTTCGTGCAGCAGGGAGATGGTTTTAGGATGACTTTGCACAGCAGCACCCTGAACAACTGCACTGAAAGATGCATATTTCACACCCTCTTTTGAAAATATATGCACATTTTTAATTTTAAATGTTTTAGATAGAAGCAGTAAATTGAATTCATTTTAATTATGGCCTGGACTTTTCTACATCTGCCCCATGTACTCAAAGGAGGAAACAAATCCACATGGASAATCTGGGTTAGCCATGGCCTCAAGCCATGTTTTTAGGCAAGATGCCTTCCTGCCCCTGCAAGCCTGGCTGCCCGTGCTCCAGAGGTCCTGCCACAGAAAAGGCCCTGGCCCCTTCTCGGGTCAGGGAGGATGGGAACCACACTGCCATGGAAGTGCCAAGCTTTGGGTACACTCCGTACCCATCATTCCCGTCCTGCCCCTGGCAGGGACCTCCACTGCCAAGAAAAATAGGACGCAGTGTAAGGTAGACTCACAGGATCAAAGAATGGCCTGCGCTGGCAGGGACCTTCAAGATCACCTGTCATAGGCAGTGACACCTTTCCCTAGACCAGGTTTCCCACAGATCTATCCAGTTCCTTCAACACACACCTACAGCTTCTCTGGACAGGCTGTCCCCCTGTCACTACACGTAAAAAAACCCTCTCCATCTTTCCTGTACGCTCCCTTCGGTCACTGGAAGGACAAGAAGTGATCCGCTGTGTCCCCTCTACCCGTTCTGTTTCTCAGGCTCATTGTTTTTCCGCCCGGCCCCAGTCCCACCATCCCGACGCGTTTCCAGCACTCCCCTCACGCTCCCCCGGGCTCCCCTCAGGCTCCMGCGCGGCGCCTGCGCTGCGCCTGCGCAGAGCCCGCGGGCGCGGTGAGCGCCCGGCCCCGCCATGGCGGCCTGGACGTGCTGCCGGGTGGCCGCCGTGTCCTGCCTGGTGCTCTGCGTCTCCCTCCTTCTGCCGCGCACCTTCCTGCCCCGGGCCGGCAGCAGGCAGGAGCCCGGCGCCGCGCCGCCCGAGGGTAAGACGCCGCTGCTCGCCGCCGTCCCCCCATCCTTGTCCCTCTCCGCCCCGGGACGCCGCGGTCCCGCTCGGGCAGCGGCTCGGGGTGAGCCCGGGGCGGGCGGGCTGTGGGGGCTCCGTGRGGGGCCGGGGCTGCACGCAGGATGCTCCGCCGTCTGGTATGGAAACGTAGCGTAGTTCCCCCTCCCTCGTCATTCACCCGTGCTCCTCCTTTAGAGACGTGTGGAGTGTCGGAGGATTCATTCGCGGTTACCGCTGTCATCTACCCTCTTATTTAAAAAAAAACAAAACAAAACAACAGTTTAAAATCTCCCAAGTTTCATTTTATTTATATGTGGGGTATTAAAGCTGCTAAAAAAAAGTGACATATTCATTCCACTTTTTTTTGTTTTTTTTCATTGCAGTATTTCCCGTCATTATTTTGATCTTTTCTGTACGGAGTGTGCTTTTGTTGTTGCATATGAAATAAAATCCATTTGAATTGTCTTCATTGTTCAGTTTCCTACACCAGCGTTTTAAACTTTTGTTTTCATGCACCAGATTCTCATAATGCCTCGTGATGGCTCATTTTAGGTTCAGGTCCTGTCCACCCAGCCCCCCACGCTGTGTCGTTTGTGCCTTCTTTCCCACTCTGCATGTGTTAAGTTCCCGATGAATGAGTTCATACAAGCATCTCCCATTCTTTTTATGCCCATTTCCTTTTATTGTAGGTTGTTTGGTTTTTTTTCCCTCCAAGTCACTTCACAAGAGTAGCTGGTATCATAGCCCCAAGTCTTGGCAGAGGAGTTTTGCCCAGGGCTGCCTGCAAGCCAGAGGTGAGGCTGGTGGGAGCACAGAGAATCCAGATTGTTTTGGATGCTGTCCCACAGGGACGCATGTTCAGTCTTTAGGAGCTTAAAAATAAGTTGGCCAGCTCTGTAAATCTACAAGTGTATGGTTCCATTGCAGTATCTCCTCACACAGAAAACCTGGAATGGAGCTGAGTTTTTGGCAGCACATCAAGAACAGTACTGTGAGGGCATGGTGCAGGTCTCCATAGAGGCGCAGCAGCCAGCAGGGATGGGAGCAGATTCTCTGGGAGGTGGTACCTGGCTCCCCAATAATTTCTGCTCTTGTGCAGTGCCTGACTGATGCCACAGTGGTACCAAAGGATGGAATCTGACCCACCGTTTTCCCACAGCAATGTAGTCTTGAACTATCGTCAGTTAACATGGTGATGCTCCTTTCTTTGGCTTTAAAACTAGAGAAAAAAACCCAGAAAATCTAGCTTTAAAAAACCCAACAACAAACTTGCCCCCAAATTGTTTTCAGTGGCAGCTATCTAATGAATGATGCTTCTACCTATTCTAGCTGGCTCTGAGCAATGCTGTGATAAGGTGACTAATCACAGCCACAATTAAATGCTTAAAATAGGTAACGTAAATACTCTCTATCCTCATTATTATAAATACTTTGAATTATTCCTGCAGAGATCACAGGACAGCACAGGTTACTGTGTGCCTAGTGCAGCAATGAGCCCCCAGCATTGCTCCTTTGCTGCACCCCATCACCTGTCTCTGGCTGAGAATGTAACACTTCACCTCAGCTGGTTGGTTTCAGATGAGAGTTTATGGTGCACATTTTCAATTTGATAGCAAGGATTTCATTACACCTGCTCTGTATACAAAATTTCACCTGAAGTTATTTTTTTATTGGAAGGATAAATCTTGATTGAACTGCTCAATTCATATCTCTGTCATTAGTCATCCTCTTCGGTGCACTGATAACTGCAGTTACCTGACAGAAGTTTCAGGGGCTTGAGGTAATCATGTCATTCTTGAAGTTAATAAAGTGCTTATTGTAGTCTTGGGGGCAAAATGTCTCTGAATAAAACATGCTTAAAGTTTAGTACTATTTGTTAGAGCTCAGTGTTACCAGAAGGCTTTTTATTGAAACAGGCTTTAAGCATGGGAATATCACTTTTGCTAATAAAGCCATTTTCAGAGGTCTGTTTTAGAAAAATGGTGAACATAGAGCTGTAGAAGTTAATATCACCTTCCAGATGGGAATGTTGTTTTTCAAAGTAGTAGTTTCATGCATATAAAAAACATTACTTGAAGAACTTGCTTTGCATGTATTACCTTTCTAGTTTGCTTCACAGATGTGCATTAGAATGTTTATCTTTAGTAAATGAGGAAGAAAAAGAGCTACTTGCTMTTTACAAGCCATGTGTTTTATAAACCTACTCTCTATGTTGGTAGTTTCAGAAAAACCTTACAGCTCCATGACAGTAGCAGGCTCTGCCTTCTTATGAACAATCAAGTGGCATCAGCTTTCCAAAAAAACCATATATTACATTTCAGGTAACCCCTCTGCTCAGCTTGGATTTGTGCAATGCATGCATCAGTTGCMCGCTGGTGTCCTGAAGAAAATGCAGATTTTTTCTCCAGACCCTTCACCATGCTCGTGATCCTCCTTTGGATGTTCTTTAATAGCCTAATATCTTTTTTATAATGTGGTGYGCCAAACTGGCCTTGGTAATGTTACAAAAGGACTAATTACTTGGGCTTTCTGTGGGTAGACATGTTGGGGAAATTAGATGGTGTTAAAAAAAATAGAAATTATGTAGTGGCTTGAATGAGAATTTAGATTGACTCTCAAGACARCAGTTTCTGTACAGATTATTCTAAGCTGTTATACCAAATGTGCAAGAAAACATGGAAGGACATTTTCAATCTAGACAATGCTCAGTTGCGTTGTCATGGAGTCRGTGTGTCTTGCTGCATGTTGCCACTTGCAGCTTTAGAACTTGCAGGTAATTCATCTCATTGGACAGAGAGAGGGAGGAAATAATTAATTTATGAGAATACACTGCTGAGAGGGGCTGAAGATGGATTCAAGTGTCCCGAGGTGAAGGCGCCAGTATGAATGAGTATTGGCTTCGATGAGAGAGGGAGGTCCTGCAGARCCTACTTAGCAAAAGCTTTGCTTAGAGCACGCAACTTCTTAAAATAGCAACTGCAACACAGCAGGGGAGAAAAATGTGAAAAACTTCTGAGTTCTGGATCTCACAGAAGTGTATTTCATTTCTGATCCCTATCACTGGAAAAGTGGTGGTTTTCAGTCACTATGATGAACATTTTATCAGGAAAATGTAAATAGCACCCAAGCATCCCTAAGCATAGGAGWCAGAGTGATTTGAAGGTATGCTGGAGGACTGGAATTTACATTTCTGAGGCAGGAGGATAGTTCTGTATCCCACTGTCACATATTTGATTGTTCTTAGAGCTTTTTGTTTAGTAGGTTTTGAGTGCAGAGTAAGGAATAGTAAATGTCTTACTTGGAAAAAAACACAATCTTAGCATTTCCAAATCAAAATAGTGTAACCATGGTTTTGGGATGGAAACAAACCAAAAGGCAGAAGACTTCCTGCAGAGTGTGAGCAGAACTGTGGGCAAGGAGCAACTTGTTTGAAATTAGAGAATCCTTGAGAATCACATTTCTTGCTTTGCTGTCGGCATGGACAAGTCATAGGCACTTCCCAGACTGACATTTCCCATCTCCAGCCATCTTCCTACGTGTTTGGAGTCTGAAGAACATACTCATTAATGAAGTCATGTGTCATAAATCTGATGAATGACGTGCAAACTTCATGTAGCAACAGCCTGTGTGTACTGTGTGTCAACCTATTATTATATGTGTGTATATGTATCTCAGCATTTTACAGCTGGCCAGATGTTGCAGAGAAACACATTTCCTAGACTAAGTGTTGATGTGTAGTACAGTAACTTAAGTCTGAGTAACTTTATAAATAATCAAYGTGGGCTCAGTAGAAATTCCTAAAAACCCATTAAGTAGAACACATAACAATTTTCWTGGAAAAAGATACTTGAGTGGTTTGAGTATTATCACCTGGTTGGCTGGTTGCACTCACTGAGTTGTAAATAYAGTTTTTAAGATTTGCTTCTTTTCAGCCTCAAAGTCATTCTTATGTGAAAACACCATTAAGGACTTCATCTACATTCAGAAACCTAGTTTTTTAAATAACACAGATGTTTCCTGGGACATAATTTTGGTTTTGGACTTAAAGCTATTGAAGGGACAGGATTAGACAAAACATGCTCTGCTTGCCCTGTAGTTGGTTTGCAGAGTTGATTTGAAACATTAAAACTGACAAAATTATTAAATGTATAGGATAAATCTTAGGTTAAAAGATTGCACAGGTGGGTAGGTGTAGTTGGTGGAGTTATCACACACAGCAGTCAGTCTGCATGAAGGCTGCCCTTGGGCTGTCACAGGGGAGTTGGGGAATATTTCAAAAGCAGAGCAGCATTGTTGCACCCATCAAAGCCAAATGGAGTTAGTGCTCTTCCCACAGCATGGAAAATGTCCTGTTGAAGCACACACCATCCCCACTGGCAGCTGGATGGAGCAGCAAACAAGGACCCAAAACATGCCCTTCTGTGCTCATCAAGTGTCACTTGATTTTCTCGAGGAAGAGTGTGTTGTTGTCTCCATTTAAAAGTGTCACTTGATTTTCTCGAGGAAGAGTGTGTAGTTGTCTCCATTTAAAAGTGGTTTGTTGCATCCCTGGAAATGTGGTATCTTGTTCAATTGGCAGTGGCACCCAAATTGTTACATTTTCCAGTTATATACTGTGTGTTTAAGAGCTTTGTGCTTATGTTGCTTTCAAGTTGCCTGTGCCCTCATTTTCCTGTGTCATTTGCATGGGTTCTTCACAATGAAAAACTATGGAAGATAGTACTCGTTTATTAAGGAAATAACATAGGAGTTTAAAATCAACAGGGTAGCTTTAGACATAGAAGCCTTGAAATTCCCTTTTAAAATTATTTTGATAATGAAATGTATAGTGTCTGTCCCCTTGGCCTGATGAAATTTAATTGAATTGAATCCTTTAGAGCACAAATACCTTGTGGATTATTTAGAAAACTATTCACTTTAAAAACATTTTCACCTTTGTCAATTACTTTCTGCTTTCTTATGATCTCTATCCTGGGGTTTGTTTTTTTTTTTTTCATAAAGAATATTTGCATAAACATAAGATGTTTTACAAATGTTTACCTACCCTGCTGCTTCATCCCCATCTTGGTGATACTGCTCTCTGCACGACATCACACTCGTTTCCACAGTGACCTACTGCTACAGGGCATTGCTGGTGGAGCAGTGGGACTTTCTTGTAAATAAGATACTATGCTTTACACAGACTTTGAATAATTCACTAAAATTTAAGTGCATGATAACAGCTTCCTCAAAGTTAAGCTAATCTGAGAGTGGGTTTGGTCAGTAGTGGCATACCCTTGGCAGTTACACTAAAGAACTCATGGAATATCTGCTATCATCTACAACAGAAATGTGTTTTTAATAGTAGAACTTCATGAATTATTGATATCACTTCCTAATAAGTGTTTACTGCAATTTTCTGTGCTCAGGAATTTAGCTGCCTATGATAGTGTTTCCTAGCAAGACCAAATGTTGATTACATTTTTCTCCTGTGTCTAATAAAAGTATTTGCAGCTGTGTACTCGCAAGAAATAAAYTTAGCTATTTTCAGTGCCACTTCAAACCTTTTTATTTTCTTTCTGCAAGCACAGGCAGCCTGTCCTAGTGCCAGGCAACAGTGTCCAGGCCATGTRTGCCAGGGAGGGGGAGTTTTCCAACTGGGATCAGGGAATGAGCTGCAAGCCAGCCTGGCAATCCCTGGCTCTGGTGCTTCCATCCAGTGTCTCCTGCCGCCAGATTCCATGGCAGAGTAACTGAGCAATTCAGACCCAACTGGTGGAAGGGAATGCAGGTGCATGATCAAACTGGGTATGGACATGGAAAGTAGGATGTCAACTACRGAGGAGTAAAATAGTGAATTTCGTGGCAAAATTGTTGAATTGATGGCAGCAAGAAAATAGAATAATGCATGAGCTTAAATTTATCGAGGTTCTTTCAGTTGCACCACTGTTTCAGGCTCTCTGCAGTCTTATTCTAGCATCTGTACATCCATTTATGCTTGCTCTCCTCTCTTACGTTAGATTAGCTCTGCCTAGAAAGGCTAGAAACCTCTACATTTTTTCCCACTAAAATGCCAAAGATAGTATCTCCCGGGCTATATTCAGTCTCCTTTCTTACACTGCTTTACCTTAGACCTTTTTAAGGAGAACAGCTTGAGGTAACACCACTTTTCTTAATCTTTCATTACTCACTTGGTAAAATCAGGTAAAATACTGTGTCTTTTGGCAATACCCAAATATCTATGCTGGGCAAACACTGCAGTCATATATCACGGTGTTAGGTGGATAATGGTTTATACATTAACACATTTATATATTAATATGCCTTTGGGCAATATTGAAAGATCAGGCTCACAGTGGAAAACTGATATGTTGTTGGGGAGTTTTGAGGAGAGRAACAAGTAGGAATTTGGCATTTCATCATGCTGGAAATGCTGATCTGTCGGATATCCAAACAAGAAAATAGGTGTTAAAGTCCATGATTTGTTAATTGCCTTGCCCAGCTCTTTCTCTTCTTAAAATTAGGAGATTTATGATTCTACTCCTAATTATGTAGGATTTGGTGGAAGAAAATTGCTTTAAGTAAAACATAACTCTTAGCACTGCACATCACAAGAGACTGAAGACTGAGGTCACAGACTCAGTYGAACAAGTTACTTGTTCATCAGTGGTGGTGAATTTACAAGCAGAGGAAATAGGTCACTTGCACCTGCTGCAGGTGTATTCTACATGTAAAAGGGTGGAAAGTAATTGAAGGGGACTGATCATTGTGTGGTTTTTTGCAGGGAAACTTGGTCGCTTTCCACCGAGGATGCATTCCCACGCCACTCCCGAGAGCCGAACTGTCCCTCATTTTCCAAGGTCTCACCTTACTGAAGCAGTTGCCAAAGCCAAGGCAGGTGGAGGTGGTAGTGGAAGCACTGGTGGAACTGGGAGAGGTCTTGTGGGACAGATTATCCCTATATATGGATTTGGCATCTTCTTATATATCCTCTACATTTTATTTAAGGTAAGACCATCATAAATTGAAAAGTCAGGGAAATAACTCAAAGAACTTTGCAAAAATAATTATGTTTTCATTTCAGTCCCTTGTTCAATTTCAGCTGTGCTCAAAAAAATGCTTATGCTGGACCTCTGCCTGGTGATCAAAAGATTGGAGTACCGGGTTTTGCTGTTGGAAAGACTGTAGCTACGAAGGCAGGGAAGGATTTCTCTTATGCTGCATTGTCCTCTGACCTCTTACAATTTTTTAAGGATTTTTTTCCCCTGGAAAATGTGCATGTTAGATTAATTTTCAAAGCTGCACATTATATGTGCTGTGCATGTCACATGTTGTTTTATGTATGCAATGTGGGAGAGGGAGCACAGAAATCACATAGTTTTTGGAATTAAAGCACCAGGTTCATGGAGACTGGGAGTTTGTAAGGCAGTATTGATCATGCTGGAAATGCCCCAGCTGAGGAGTCGGTTGAAAGCCAGTTGAAAAATGCACAGCCCAAATTGACCTCAGGTGTTTCATATGTGATTTGAATTTCTTGTAACTATCTGTTAACAGCTTGACTTGCAGGTGGGTGATGACAGTCAGYTGTGTGGGAGAAAGGAACACTGGACCTGGGGAAATGTTTTGGGGTTTTTTTTCCCTTTGAGTAGAGGCTAAATCCAACTGGAGCAGTGTCGAAAGAGTTGAGTCTGAGCTGGACAAAGTCAAGAATGAAATGGATTGGGTAAACTGATCAAACACAGCATAGATGAAAAAAAGAGCCTGCAGCTTCTGTCCTGAGAGGGGCAACAGAGCTGGTGAAGGGTCTGGAGCATGAGTCCTATAAGGAGCAACTGAGGGAGCTGGGGGTGTTTAGCCTGGAGAAAAGGGGGTTTAGGGGGGACATTTTCTCTCTCTGTGACTCCCTGAAATGAGATGAAGCAAGGTGGGCATCAGCCCCTTCTTCTAGGCAACCAGTGATAGGCAAGAGCAAATGGCCTCAAGTTGCRTCAGTAGAGGTTTAGACAGGATATTAGGAAAAAAGTTCTTCACTGAAATAGTTGTCAAGCACCAGAGCAGGCTGTACAGGAAAATATTGGAGTTGCCATCCCTGAAGGTATTTAAAAGCAGTAGATATGCCACTTAGGGAGAGGGTTCAGTGGTGGACTAAGCAGTGTRAGGTTTACCATTGGACTCAATGATCTTAAAAGTATTTTTCAGCCTAAAGGATTCTATGGTTCCATGTAGAGCCAGACAGTATCTGTGCTGCACCTACAAGGCTGGTAAGGAATAATGGCAGAAAGCATTGCAAGGGGTTTGAGTGGGGTCACTCAGTAGTTCCTTCATAACCTGCCCTTCAGTTTGCAGTAATTGTCAAATGAGTTTTTTTCCCCTTTCATACACAGAAGAATGGAATAGATAACCATTCCAAAATGAAGAAATTGCTTTTGATGATTTATGCTTTTGCTATGCTTAAAAATATTATTTGTTCCAATAATCTTTTAGGAGTTTTCAGCTGGCAAATTCTCCCAGGCATTATTTATGGTTTTGCTGCTGGGTGTGCTTTTTCTTTTGGCATGTTTTAGTTTTCTGTATTTTTTTCTGTTGCCTCTGGGTTTTATCTATTACTTTCCTCATCAGCTGGCTTCCAAGGGAAGGACTACTCCTGCAGAGCGGAAATGCCCTACTGCTACACCTGGGAACATGAAGAGGAAAATCAGTGAGTATGGCTCTGGGTTGTATCTGTGGAGCTGTTGGCTCTATAATGGTTCAACAAGGTTCATCAAGTTCTGGGCACACTGTAAGCTGATGTTCCATCCCTACACCCCAAAAAAACAAGCCAGAATATTTTGTGTTAAAATAAGCAAGAGTTAAAAAGAATACTGCACTGTCACTTTCTAATCTTATTCAGCCAATGAGACTGTGATAGCAGCCTGATCCCAAGCCCCTCTGGAAGGAATGGCTTTTCATGAGGTTTGTTGAATTAACTGCACGGATTTGTTGAAAAGCTGTGTCACTAATGATTAAAAATGGATAATAGGATGTCCAGCTATAATTATTCTATAATCCCTAATAGTCTAGTAAGAGCATAGAAAGATACCATAAAAGCTGGTTTCATATTTTTGAACTGATGAATTCTTAGCCATCATCAGGCACTTCCCTAGTTTGTCCCTTTCCTTTTTTGYAATGTGCAGTCTTCATGCATGCAATAAAAAGAGCAAATGTTAATTTGATTTTACCTAAACATTGGTGAGATAGATTCAACTATTTGTGGGCCGTTATTAGATAAATTAATAAGCTTAGCACTGAGGATTGGAACAGCAGTTACCATTACAGCATTTAAATGTGTTGTGTTTAGCTGGCTAAACTGTAATACGAAAGAAAAGTACTTAGGGCTTTATAAAAAGTAGTAGCAGGAAGGTAATTCTCTTAACATAGCTGTAATTATCTTGACATTAATGCACACGTTAGGAATACCTAATGTACTCAGTGCTGTAGTTTGTGTCTCCAGTTATACTGCATTGTGCCTGGCAATTTTGGGCTATATATTAGCAATGGTAATTGTATTTTTTTCTCTTGTGCTTGGTAAGAGAAAGTAACTTTGCAGTAAGTTAACTTTGCCATCATTATATCCCAAAGAACTAATAGTGAAAATTATTGTGCCTTTTTCTAGAGCTCTTCATTTATATTCCCAAAGCATTCACAGCAAACTGTAGCAGAGCAGGGGACAGGTCACTGCATTAGGAACCTGAAGACTGAGTCACCACTTACATAGTGACTTGGAAGAAGTAACTTCCTTTCTCTTTGCCAATTTCCCTTCTTCTTTAAATAAGGTCTCAGACATGTAAAATAATTACATCAGTGATGCATTAAGTAATGACAATCTGTGCAGAATAGAGATCTTTCTAAAAGCAGGATGTTTGTGGATGGATTTATCCTTTCCTACTATGTTGAAGTTCCATTGTGCCTTTGTGCTGCTTAAATGGGTGTGCCTGGAGCAGCTGAATATTTCATTCAGCCAGGCTAGTTTCACTTTGTTCTGCAGTGGGGAGCAATGGAGTCTCAGCTGTAGGATTTTGAACATGAGCTACAAAAGCTCAGCAAGGAGTTCAAGCATTTTTGTTGGCATCCAGGCTGTTGTATCTTGACTGTTAATGCTTTCAAAAAGCCAGTTTGGGTGTTCTTTCATTGTGTCTACTATTGTGTTATGGCCACATTTGGTTTTGTAAAAAGTGCAACCATGGCTTTGCTCCCCAGGCAGACACCATGGGCTTACTGTTGTTCTTCCCAGTAAGCCTTGCACACCTGGGCAGGGTTGGATTCAAGCCTTCAAGTCTATGAACTTGATAAGAGAAAGAAGTGGTTTCTCAAACCTTGGGCTCATTAGAAAATGCTCAAATGGCCTTTTGTTTCTGGGAAAAATTCCATGATAACTATTAATTATGCAGTGGAAATTTTAAAAACCAAACAAGCAAGCACACAAAAAGCCCCCCAGTATTTTATTTTCTTAAACTTTAATCTCCAGGGCATTTCCAGTGGCCCACTCACTGTGCTTATTGGGAGGTAGCTTGGAAACATGTGAAAGAAGCTTTCTGTGTGTCTTATTACCACTGGTAATATTCTTTACCTTCTTAGGCCAAGAAAAGTAGGTGGCACTCTCTAAGCTGAAGGCTTAGTTTCCTCACAGCCAGTTGGGTTTGGTAGAGCATTTGCTACCTGGGATAATGGGCAAGGGATACATATTCAAAGCTCCTGCTGACAGATCTTGGGATTTTTGGTTTGTTTTTTTTGTTTGTTTTACAGCTGACTATGAACTCACTCAGCTCCAGGAAAGACTGAGAGAGACAGAAGAAGCTATGGAAAAATTAATCAACAGAGTAGGACCTATGTATGACAGGTGTGTTTCAAATTACAGCATTTTAAGAAGAGATTCTACTCTGATTAGAGATTAAACCTTCTTACATTATCTTTATTAAAATAGCATTTTTATTGCTACTTCAAATKATAGAAATCTGATTTTACACATCACAATTCATGTTCTAAGTTTTCTCTCTTTTCAGCATCTATATATAAAAGAAATCCTTTTTTCCAACGTCATTTGCCTTAAGCAGAAAAGCAACAATCTCTGTCAGCCCACTTTCTACAGTGTTTTTTGGAAGAAAATGACATGTATGTGTAAACAGAAAATAAACTATCTACATTTAAAGTACTTAAAACAACCTGTCTTATGTGACCAAAGTAATATACCGAGTTATTTTTTTCCAGTTCTATAGATTATTTTTCTAAAGTGAAATGCTGTTATAATCTATGTAAATTCCTGTTAGAATAACCATAAAATATTTCTTTAAGGCAGAATGGTATAATAATCTGATTACATAACTTAGTTCTACCCTGTAACCCGTAAATTCATGCATTTGCTTCTAAATGTAAAAGACAAAGGGCTGCAAAATCAGCATTCAGAATTTTATTATGTTTATTAACATTTCCTACAAATCTGGTATCACCAGTCTGTGTTACAAAGAARTACTGGGAACAAGCCTATGTTTTTCATAAGGAGTAAAAAGAACAGATCAATAAGACTCTGCATAACTGCAGTGTTTGAAAATTGAAATACTATTAATATGAAGGTGGGGGTTGCAAGTAAAAACGAGAGCTATTCTGGTTATATCTTGTGTTAACTTGGTCTAGATCAGCCAAGGCCTGTTTTAACCCATTCTGTAGGAATTCTGTGCTGAATTTGCACATTTTTTTCATTTATGCTTCCAACCACATTCTGTTTGAATATGTAGGTTTGCCCACTTGGTAGGTGTGCCCTGGATTGTCTCAGGCAGATKAGGTGCCCACCTTTCCCGTGCTCAGCCAGAGGTTCCACAGGGAGAGCCCTAAACTGCTCTGGTTTTATTAGTGGAACAGGAGGATCCTGCTTTGACTACTACTCATCTCTGTTTTGGAGAGCTAACACAATGCTCTACRTGTACCCTTAAGCTGACAGAAATAGGCTTACGAGCTGCCCAGATATTCAACTGAGTCTCATGATGGAATATTTTTTTACTGAGAAAATCGGTTTAGGGTCTGATCCARTATTTGTTCCACTCTGTGTTATTGGCCCAAGGCCTCTATTTAGTAGAACTTCCCTTCTTTGTTCAACCAGACTATTTATATAGATGGGTCTAAAGGTCTCAGGGGAAAYGAGAATCTGAATCTAATGAAGAATTTTGTATGCTGCCTTTTTGAAGAGGAGGGGAAAAGCACCTCTTAATGGAGCAAAAAGCTGTTTTCAAACTCTTTAAAGCTTTCTTAATCTGTGATACTTATTCATTTTACCAATACTGGATGAATGCATTAAAATAAAACCTATGGTTTAAAAGTGTAGTTAGATCAGTSTACTGAGCTAAGCTTATTCAATCTGGATATTGATAGATTTAAATAAAAAGGAAACAATAAAACAGTAAAAATTACTTGAGCTTTATTTATTAATATGCAGTTGAATAGAAACCCTTACAACAGAAAAGTCAGAGACAGAAACAAATAGTATTGAATTTAAAATAATGCTGAAAGACCCCAGGTGAGACCATGGCCCTTTATACTTGGTATGGCAAAGCAACAGCCAGCTGGCCAAGCGAAGTATTAGTAACCAAACCAAAGGTGATATTTTGGATTCTCCCAAAACCTGACATATCATCATAACTTACAGTGCTTGTTGCAGTGCTGAGGGCTGAGCTTGTGCCTAAGTGTCCTCTCACTATACCTCAGGAGCAATCTCCCAACTGAACTGCTCTAGGATTCATCCTGGAGATGATTCTTTCTCCTGAAGATGATTCTTAGAATCCAGAGATTTTCTAGTTTTGTAAATTTTCATCCAAAAAATTGCTTTTTAAATCTGGATTAATTTGAAAGGATAGTTTCTGTGATACAGCATTTTCTGAGAATAAAGAAATACTGTTTCAAAAGATATTTCAAAGGAATAATATATACTCTGCTGTGTGACTTTATTCTGCTTTCTTTTGTAGCAGGTGTACATGTTGTTTTYTTGCTATTGCTTGTCCAGCTCTATTTCTTTTCCTTTCAAAATCATTTGAGTGAAGTGAGGCTGGAAGACTTCTCAATACTATTAGTTGGTTTACTCAGATGGGATAGCTACTATTATGCAGCCCTATGTTGTACCCAAGGCAGAAAATTGGGTTTGCTTCTATTTTTTTTTTTATGAGGTTTGAAGACCAACCTCCAAACCAGCTGAGGAGACTTCCTTCCAAACCAGCACACCAGGTGGAATTGGTACACCCTTCCAGAAATGCATAACTATGAAAAATTACATGTACAGATACTTTTAACAAGGCCTAGCATGTTGTAGGAAGAATGAGAAGTAGGGTAAAGAAAGTGAGAGGAATAAAGGACTGCCTGGCCAGATCCTTGACAATGTAAACAAACATTTCTATTTCTGGTAGTTAGGTAAGAGGTAGAAATAATGCAGCTTACCTGTTTTTAAAGTCCTGTTTACTAGGCTGTCAACTGGAAAAACTTTCCTTTTTATCATAAGCTGAGCAAAGGAGATATGGAAGAGTGAGAGGCTCTTGGGGTGCCATTTTTTGGGATGTAGCTGCATTTTAATAATGATTATTTTAAGATCAAAAAGGTAAAAAAATCCAGTTAATATGTCTGAGATGCCATTTTAGATTATGGATTTTGTCTGTATCCATGATGGTTCTTTAGGAAATGTTCTAATCTCAGAGTAAGGATACCTTTACTTTACCTGTTAGTGAGCACTTYGGGACTCTTACGAAGTGTTAAGTATTGCTGTTATGAAAAGTAATAGTTGTGTTGGAGCTACAAATACAGAGAGCAAAAATAATGACCTTTTCTTACACTGTAAACCTTCTGCATCTGTTATCCTCTTAGTATTCCTAAGTGCATCATATCCTGGTAAATCTCCCATGTGCGGGCAGCCAGATGTCTTACACCCTGCCAGCATCCTACAGTAAGTCTTCCCAGAGGCCTTACATGAAGTCAAAATAACACATAGGCTTTAGTTCCTCTCTCTCTGCAGGGAAATTTGCTTTTTAAGCAAGGTATTTGGAGGAGTTATACTCTCAAATACAGAGCCCTTGTGCTGCAATAAGACAGTAGTGCTTTCTAATGAGGGCACCCCACATATTAGGAATTTTCCTGTATGAAATGCCATAGTAATGCAGCTGCATTGATTGATCCTGKTGTCTGAGCTGGCTTATCTGCTAAAGAGATAGGCTTCTCTGTCTTCATCCAAATGATATATATTCAAACTGGGTACAGTTTTGTCTGCAAAAGGAGGATTAGGCTGGCAATTCTGTTACAGCTTTGGTCCAAGACTGATGAAACCATTCCTTTTTGTGGGCCTCTTAATTCACACCTCTGATTCCACATCTGCATAAGCCCAGCTTTTGGGGAGATGCTGCCTCATGCCTTCACTTGTTTGTGGAACAGATTGCCACCACAACTTGGGGACACTCAGTGCAACCTATGTATAGTGTTGGGATATCAGCTTTTCAAACTGTGGGGCAAAGTGCCCCTTGGTGGGAATGCAGAGAAGCGATGTTTTGCCTTGTGATCTCAGCAAAACAGTTTAATCTGGGTAGGTGCTAATGAAACCAGCTCCTAAGCTAAGTTCAGTTACAGACACCTGTGCTTGCAGCTGTGCACAAAATGGGATCAGCACTTCTACCACCATCACGCCAAACAGCAGTAGAATGCTGATCTTGGCTTTAAGCCAGCATGACTTTGCTGCCTTTCATGGATATCATCATCATATGCACAAAGTCCYTCTTAGAATGCTGCTCCAGTCCCAGCAGTTGGTAAGAGAAAAATCTGAAGATGGCCAATTGCAAGTTCTTTAGGATTAAGGTAACTAAACTGAGGTTTATATTGATACTAAACACCTAAAGCAAAAATCTATTTCCAGCTCCTCTCTTCCCATCTCATCCCTACGATTCACTGAGCAGTCTACCAAGTGAATCTGCTCTTGGGGATTATCTGTCTGTCTGCTCTCCAGACCAGAGATCATCAGAAATCATCTGTCTGACCTCATGTACCACCTGCAGTTCAGTATTCTGTGCCTGCCAAGGGCCACCTWTTCCAAGTAATTAGGGGCAACAGATCATGACTGACACATAGAGATCCAAACRAGTGCCAGAGTAGTGACTTGAACTGGCATTAATGCTTAAGAATGACTTCAAGCTCAAGATAGCATAATTTTAAACTCAAGATGGATCAAGCACCATTGATCAGAACCATTTTCACCCCTGGTGACAGCCAGTGTCTTTCTCATTCTGGCCTACTGAGTTAGCAGACTGCAGAGCACCACCCTCCAAATGCTACTGTTTTATCCATAACATTTTTAGAAGCCTTTTTTTTTTTTTCTTTTCAGATAAAATAGCAGGTAATGACTACATGATCTTACCTGTTGGAAGCATTTTTGTTACAGCAGTAATTGTATTACCTAGGCGGTAATAATTACTAGATTCAGCAGTGTAGAACCAGTCAAAAGTTTGCTTTCAATCTGATAAAAATCTCAAACCTCTCCCTCTAATTCTAAAGGGCAAGACACAGTTCAAKGTAACACCTTCTTTCCATTTTTAAATCTTCCTTCCTGTTCCTCTCCCCCATCTGTCCAGTAGGCTGCATTGTTGACTGTCTATAATGACAGGTTGATCTGTCCAACTTGCAGATTTAATGGTCATAATGAGGCATCATTAATCTTGTGACTAATGACCGTGTGAGAAATTTTGATCAGACTCACAAGCTCCACATGTAGCATAGGTTCAGAATTACATTTCCTTATAATACTTCATATAAAGCACTGCACTCTAATTCTTACATAATACACTTTTAAAGGCAAGAAATTTCTGTAGTGTCTTTTGTGCCATAACTCTTTTTTGTGTGTCACTTTCATCATCTCGCACTGGCTTTACCTGCCTTCCTTTGCCTGCCTTCCTTTACCTGTGTAGATTCACAGGCTTTTTTTGATAAAGAGATAAATTATACCCAGCTGAAGTGCAGAGTTCATGCAGGTGCTGAGGAGGGATCACATTCCTCAACAGCTTTCTTCAGACTGTGCCACTGGCGTGGCCCAAACAGTTGGGTTCAAACTCTTTTCATATTTTATAGTAACAGTGGACTAAATTCTGGTGTCTAATATTTTCTAGCAGGACTCAAAATGTCACAACAGACCAGGAAAAGATGTTACTTCAACAACTCCGAGAAATTACTAGAGTTATGAAAGAAGGAAAATTTATAGATGACATCTCTCCTGAGAAGGAAGCTGAGGASGCTCCTTACATGGCGGATTGGGAAGGTAAGGGAGAGACTTTCTTACCATTACCCTTACAGAAAAAATTGAAGCAGGATTAGTCATAGTCCCAGAACCTTTCAAAGTTTTGGTTAACTTTATCCTTCCTTTCTTTTCAGTGTTCAAAACTTTGCAAGAGGTCACTTGGCTTTTTTTTTTTTTTGCCAACCATAATAGAAAAAAATAGATTTGAGGTATCCAGCACATCTTTTAGTGTAAACACTGCACTATCTTCTGTCCAAAGTGACATATAAATATCCACATATGCTCCATCTGCTGCTGGGGCTTGGGTGCTCTAGGTTTATATATTTCCCTTTCTTTGTTGGGCTGGATTTCATGATAATCATAAATAAAACCTTGGAAATCAGAATTAGTATGTTTTAAATAGCTTATAGTTTTTACTTTCGATTAGTTATTCTTTGTTTGCTCCAGTGTTGTAAAAGTCAACTCCAGGAAGTCTGTCTTTTAAAAATTATTTGTCTTAATGTCCTTTCTATTCCTTAGTGTTTTCCTGCTACATAAATGTGTTTTCAAGATAYCTTAGTTGAGCCACTCACCATCATAATTTTCAAGACTTAATTTCTTGCTTTTCCAAAAGCTTTCAAAAATGATCCAAAACATAAATAGTAGCCTTGAGCTGTGTTCGTAAAATCACATTTATGATGTTATTTCTAAAATGAAATGCACAAAGTCATTGATGTATCTGKTTTTTCAACTTTCTAAGTAATGCTGTTTATAGCAAGTTTTCAAAACATGGATCAGTCAATCTAAAGATAGAAAAAACACAAGGATTCATTTAAAGATCTAAGACACACCATTTTTATCTGTCAGCCTCCATAGCTTCAAGCAAGGCTCACCTTTCACTCCTGAAAGTCAGGGCTGATATCCTGGCTTCCTAAATATAACTGGAGTGTTTTTTATCATCTCCCAAGAAGACATGCCTGGCACATTCTTGCCATGAATTTAATAATGTGAYGTGTACATTAGATTAGAGAGTTGACACACTAGCAGTGGTAAAAACAGCTGTTCTGGCCAACTTTGCATCCACCCCTGAAGTCAATCCTACTTTTCAATGCTGGTCATACTCCAAGCTGCATATCCCTTCATTCCTAAGGTTATCCAGAAGAGACCTATCCTGTCTACGACAATTCGGATTGCTTCAAGCGCAAACAGGACACAATCCTTGTAGATTACCCTGACCTGAGCCAGCCCTCTCCAGAAGAACTGGCAGAAAGAATGGAGGGCATGGAAGACGAGGAGTATCCTTATGATGAAACCCTGCTAAGTGATCTCACCATGGGAATGGCTGGTCARGATTCAATGCAGGAAAAGGGTGAGGTAACTCTCAGCAGTGAGGAGAAGAGTGACCTTCCTCCCAGCCAAAGCACTGGGGAGTGCTGCTGTTGCTGTGATGATCCTGCTGTCGTAGCAGAGAATGCTGGATTCCACTCTGAGAGCTGCAGTGAAGTAGAAGAGACAAGCCAAGAGGATCTGTCTGTAGAGTCAGAAAATGAAAATGCAGCACTGGAAAAACAAAAGGCCAGTGATTCAGAGGAGGCAGGCACACTGAGAAAGCGCAACACCAAAGTACTTGATTGATGGGGACAACAGTGGATGTTATCTAGATGGTAAGGGTAGAGGTCATAAATTGTCATTCATGTGGTTTTTGTTCCCTCCATCTGCCTGAACTGGAAGCCAGTGTCCTCTTTCATGCACTCATSGTGGGTTACCATGATGTTGCCAACTGTGCTTTGTCTTTGATTTTTGAAGCCTTGTATTTTGGAGCAGATATTTGTGACTTCTTCCTTTTCAATTCCGAAGGAGCTGTCCTTGGTTTTGCCCTTTGTCATCCCAGAGTTAACCAAATGTCTCTTCTGACTTTTTCAAAAACGTCTGTGTGCTACCAGTTAGAAAAGTTAATCAARTCCTTATGTATACATGTATTCAGTGGGATGCTGAAGGACAAAATATGCCTTCTTTCTCTTACCTGAATGTTACCTGGTCAGCAGAGCAGATCATAGTCACACACGACACTCTCAACTCTGTCATTGCTCTGTATGCTTGAGAAACTGCTGTCACTACAGTCCACAAAGATCATAATGCTGCCCACAGCCCTTTCCCAGTTATTCTGTGTTGCTGGAATGGTAGCCTGATCCATGTTGTGTTACTTGTGTGAGCAAGACTGAAGCTCTGTGAGTTGTGCTTTAACTTTGCCTTAGCTGTGGTGAAATTCCCAGATGATTGCAGGAAGTGGACTACAATGTGTGAGAGCACTAAAAATATCCCCAGAGATTAAAACCAAAAAAGCAGCATTAAGGTTTGTCAGTTAAGGAGAGAACAGCATGAGGGTGCCCCTTAGACTGAAGGGAGCAGGTAGACTTTTCCTTCTTCCGGGAAATGTGCAGGTTCTTTATGCTCTTGGAATGTTGCTGTCACCATCTTGTTGAGGCACCGCCAGGTATGGGATGAGAGGGTGCTGGAGTCAAGGGCTCCTGAGGGAGGTGCCCAAGGGACAGCAGGTGGGGTGGGCCCCAGGAAAGGGTCCCTCAGCCCCCATGACCCTCCTCCCTCTCCCATATCTGGGCATTTTTCAGGCCACAGGCTCACCATAACCTGATGCATTGGGCCACACTCCATGGCCCAGTCACAGTGACTTGTTTGTGATGTCACCAGTATCCTGAGTGCTCTGGCACTATGGAAGCAGGGGCCTCTGCAGCTGCCCTCCTGCCCACCCAGCTCCAAAGCCGTTGAAGAATGACTGGAARGAAGAAAAGCTGGAGCAGGGAGGCAAATGGCAGCCCACCTTTGTAAGGGACAGCAGCAGGGCTCCTTCCAGTGATGGCCGAAGAGGAAGACATGTGCCAGGATGAGGCTGTTGGGACAGTGGAACAGGATGAACAAAATCACCCCTCTGGCATTGGCACCACCACCCTCAGTTCCCTGATCATAGCCATGCAGAACTTGGCTCTGTGCCCACCAGGGAATGGTGTCCAGCGCAGGGACATTGGCATGCCAGGGAGCAGCTGGAGCAGTGACCTGGGTGGCCGCCCATGTTTGCCTGGAACAGCACAGAGACGTGTCCACAAGCAGCCAAAGAGGGAGTCACGTTCCCTGGGCCTGAAAAATGGCAATCCACGGTGCAGAATGAGGAGGAAGAGAAGGAGGAGGAGGAGGAGGCGGCAGCATAGGAGGAACATCAGCCCTTGCACCATGAGAACCATTGCCCACATGCGAGGAACGACATCCAGCGCATGGCTCCGGGAACCCCGGCGTTTCAGAGCCCACACCTGCCTGACTGACAAATAAGCAACAGGACAAGGATGAAAATGCTGTCATCCTCTTTATTTGGTAGTTGGGCAACAGCATCTGTGCTCCTGTGACCCCTAAAGTAGGTGGTGTTTTTTGGAAACTTTCTGGTTCCATGTCCACATCCTGCTTTGCTGGTGCCACCTCACATCCTGGGATTTTTTAAGCTATTACGTCAACAATTTGAGATGAGGGTTGTTGTTTTTTCTAAACAGTCAAATTATCCTAATGAAAGCATGGAGCGCTAGGAATTTTTCTCTCCAAATATGCTAGGTAGTATTACAGAGTCCTAGTCTCCACAAGGGGCCTGTACTGCTGGCTCACCCATTCCATCTCCTAGCATCAACAATTATTGTGTTGATTGCCATGCATGGTGTGAACCCTTCCTTCCCATCCCCTCCCTGCAGCCTTCCTGGAGCTCCTCTGCTCTGAGTTACAGGGAAAGAACATGAATTGACTTGGCTTCCAGCAGGCTATTGCACTGAGGTGACAGGAGTGTCCCCACGAGAACCACTGAGGTTACTGGGGTCTGGAGGGGAGGTTTCTTCAGTCTGGGACAACGTTCCCTGATGGATGAGTGAAGTCAGGCTTGCATGAAGAGTATTGGCAGATCAAGCCAAGAATGTGGACAGCTATTTCTTTGGAGAAGCAGCAGATGGCAGTTCAGCCAGGAAGAAGTGCTGTCCTTCTCATGGAGGTCCCTTCTAGCTGCTTCATAAGTTCTTTTCAATGCTGGGAAATCCATTTTAAAAAACCAAACCAATAAAGAAGAAAAAAAAAAAACAACAAACAGTAAAAATGCTTTCTTCCTCTCTTTTTTTTTATTTTGGTGAGTGCCTATGGATTCCTCTGTCCCCTCTTGGTCTCCACAGCACAGGAAAGATACTGATGTGTGGGGTGTGGTCCCAGCCCAGGCCCCTGAGATGGTGAGGACACAAGAGCAGGCTGAGGGAGCTGCCTTCTGAGGACAGAGAGGTGCTGGAACAGGTGGCCCAGAGAAAGTGAGGATGCTCCATCCTTGTCAACATTCAAGGTCAGGCTGGTTGGGGCTTTGACCAATCTGGTCTAGTGTCAGCCTCACCCCAGTGTTCAGCCAAGCCCTTAAATCATTCCCCAGTATTCCCAAGGAAATGGTAGGAGATGTGCTCATTGCTGATCACCTTGGAGCCCTCCTGTGGATACACTGACACCCTTTCCCTGGATTGTCACTGGCAAGTGCTCACTGGGARTCACTGGAACCGTGATGCTCAGTGAGGTGCAAACCCAGGAACACAGGGCAGGCATCCCACTGCAACTGCACCCACCCTGGGCATCTGTGACACTCTGCTTTAATGAAAAGAGCTGGACTCCCCCGGTCTGCACCAGCTCTGAGACAAAATCTGGGTGCCAGCCAACGTGAGGTATTTGGGTCACCCCACAGAATTGCTCACAACTGGTCCTTGGTGCTGGGACAGGGTGTCGGGGAGGTGCCCATGGCAATGCCACCCTCCAGAGCTGGGGCAACCCATGGGAAGGGCCTGTGCCACATGCAGTTACCACCCAGCCCCATTTTGTGTCCCAGCCCAATGAACCCAGCCCTCAGAACCAGTCTGGGTCCTGGATTATGGGTCTGGCCTCACCACCTTTGTTCCAATGTGCCAGATGCAATTGTTCCAAATGTACTGATAATCCACATTACCACAGGAAAGTGAATTTGTGTTGAGCAGGAGCTGCTCGTGATGGCCATCATTCTGCTGAGCTGCCACTCCAGGGGGAGATGCCCAATCCTCTTGGCACACTGTTAATGCATGCTCTTGGATTACCTTGTTTTGTACCAGACATTTTCTCCCAGTGTTGYGAAACCTCTTCCAGAGTTGCAAAACCTCAGTCAACTCAATTCTTAATGCTGGGTCTATTTCCATGGTTTCAAGCACTAAGAGGAACTTGAACCCCCTTTTCACAAGAAAAACAAAGACCTGAACTCCTGTGCCTTACAAGGACTCTAATCCCTTGTACCTGAGGAGCTGTTAAAGCTCCTTTTAACCCCTGTGACAGAGCTAGGGGCTTCGGATTTCCTTGCAGCAGGGGCAGGAGAGAATGGTACTAATGCAGGTTGGCTGTGTGGTGTCAGAGAACCTCAAGAGCTCAGCCCTGACTTGTGGATGGCCTCGGCAACCTCTCCCCAGGAACCAGTAAGTGCACTCTGAATGCAGCCAGCCATGCCTCATGCTCAGACTGTAACATTTCCTTTTCTCCCTTTGCCTCAGCTTTCCCCTCTCTGAAACGGAAATGAGGAGCATTTTAGAAAAGGACCATCACATGTGTGTGTCCAGCTTTCTCAACTATTAATTGCTCATTTCTAATAGAGAACATTCRTAATTTGAAATAGAGCTTAGCTGAACAAATTAGGATTCTCAAAGAACTTCTATTAAGTGCTTAAATCAAAATCATAGGTTAGAACATCAGCAAACCTGGGAATTTGAGAGAAAGTCATAGAAGCCCAGGTGGAAGCAGTCAGGCTCTTTGAAAGCACATGCTCCTTTACTTGTGATGTTTCCCACCTGACAAATGAAATGGCTGTACTTTTTGTTAAAGCCAAAAGAAGCAGCCCATGTGTTCTTAAAACAAAATGATAAAACTAGGTTTTAAACCCCACAAACTCAGCTTAGTTCTTAGTTCTCCCTGGATATTTGAGAATGTTACAGATCGTTTCAGGCAGATCATGAAATCAGGAAAAAAGCAAAAAGTAAGATCCTCACTAGTCCCAAAAATACTCTAAAGAGCATTAGTTATCAAATAGTATTCAGAACATAATATTCAATATATAAGAAGTTTATAACCTGTTTGCCTTAGCAATTTAGTGTACATATGCTGGATTTTTTATTTTCCAGCTAAAAAAATTATGCTTACCTTTGGGAACACAGAACTGTCTAGTGCAATAATCTTCTATTTAAATATTTACTTGCACATCCTAATAAAAATACTGTTTCTAGCCTCATGTATCACAAACACTGGACAAGAAAACCCAGGTAAGAGTTAAAAATTACCTGTATTTCAGCAGTTTTATACTGACTATGTATTTCAAAGCAAATGAATGCAACCCCAGATCAGACTGAGCATCCCAAACACAGCTGGAAAGGTTGGCATGGTCAAATGATTTTTCTCAGCTTTGGAGCTTCAGCAGTTTTTGTGGGGGTAGATTCYTAAAGAGCAAATTGATACCTCTTGTTTTTCTCAGTGATCTTCCTGGGATGGCTTAGATTGTGCTCACAGACTACACCTCCTCTCTGTTGGGATCAAACACCTGCCAAGGTGCAAGAGCCTTTGACAGAGCAAATTGTCAAAATACAGCTTGAATGGCACAGGAAACTCATGTTAAATAACTCCACTGGAAGTAATTTATTGAAGTGTTGCTGATCTTGGGTAGGAAAAGACATTGTTGTTTCAAACAAATATTTCTGCAYAGTGTTCTGTATTCACACACTGGAGCCTCTATGACATACACCAGGTTAATTATGTGAAAACACAAAACTCAGTCATTGCAAATACTGGTAAATAMATACCAGTTTTATTACTATTAATATTTACTCCAGAATACCAAAGAGTTTCTTTAAAAAATTTCATTTGTAAAAGCACATTCTTGAAGGTTTATCTACAACTCTCTAAAAGTCTGAACAAAAAGGAGATGCCTGACTCCCCGAAACAGGCCAAGAMAGTCTTGTGTGCTAACAAGTGAAAAAACACGTCTGGTTAAATGGTCGTTCTCATGATTAGGTCATTTTTTATCTTTTTTTTATATATTCCATTCTTTAAACCCCATAAAATATAAAGAAAATATAGACCATAACATATTCAAAGTCTACTGTATAACATCAGTTTATTTAAGAAAGGCAGAGATGAGTCAGAAAATGTTTACTGTGGGAATTAAAAAAAAAGAAAATTAAAAACCCTAATTAATCTGCTTTTTCATTTTCTAGGGACCTAAACATTCATGTAGCACATTTTCTACTTCTTGAAGTTTAAGTAAACAAGTCAAAACAAAGGTTATTTTTCTTTACAGGCAGATACAGYCTCAACATGTTCTAAAATGTATATTTCTACTGCTGCTCCCAAATGATGGACCTTTCAGGCTGTCATTAATTGGATGAAGACTGTAAATTGGAAAGGACAAAATCAGCTCAGCTGATTCTGAGGAACTCTCAGAAATGAACCACCTCAAGAGCATGTACTTTCTGAGATACTTCTAAAGGTGAAACAAATTATAAAACATCCTCCACAGGTATTTTTTTGTTTTGTTTCTCTGCTCTTGAGATAAGAAATTGTTCAAAAGGGAGAAACAAAAGCCACACTCTTGTGATCATAGGGTAGAATTTGATTCACTGTATGGATCAATCCCACTGAAAAGTCAGCTCAAAGGAAAAGCAGATGGCTTTCTCTAATAGATAYGGACACTGACATAAAAAGCATAAGAGGGAACTTTTTTTTAATATTTTCAACAAAAAAAAATCACTTGTTCAAAATTATTTCAAGAGGTTTCAAATAACTGACTCTTTTAGAGATATTTTGCAATAATTAACACTAAGGCAAATTCATATCATGGTTTATGCTGTGACTGTGACTAAAGGAGTATTTTTAAGACTGTATCCATATTTATATTTGTGTGCACACATGTTTGCACATCTAAGCCTGGGTAAGTCATAATTGAAACCCACTATACCCTTAATACTGAGAATCCTGCTGGACATGTATATACGTCCCCTTTAAGCTTTGTATACAACTGTTAGATGACCTGATTTTCCTGTCAATAAGCACAGGATTTTAATTTGAAATAAACTTAGTTTCAATCACAGAAAATGTTTACACTTTTAAGATACTAAAAATGAACAAAGCTCCAMTATTTATCTTTTTCATACATGTCTTTCAGTAAGCCACTCTTAAGAGGTTTGTTTCTTACAGACATTGTTTCTTAGGGAAACTCCCTGTGTAATTTGCTAGTTCTTGTGCAGGTTCACAAGAATTTTATCCCTTAAATCATGGACAAGGTTTTGTTTTTCTAAATGCCCTTGGAGCTGCAGTAATGACATCACTGAATTCGGCAGCACATTTAATAGAAAAGATGGACTTTTTTGCCTCTAGATATTCTAGATTCCCTCTGAGTGTCAACAAGTCTTCATGGGGTGTATGTAAGAGCAAATTTTGGCCTCCCAATTTTCTGAAGTGTTCATGCCGGTAGTGCCCAATTTGTGTGATCCAGCTAAACCCACTTCTAAACAAAGACGGACAAGAAGACATGAGGAATCTGGCAGGGACACACAAGTGTGGCATTATGGAGACACAACAGAAGTTAGAAACATACACTGGTTACACCAGCAGRCTTGGGATTAGGCCTGAAATGGTAAATGGGTGAAAATGGCATCGTGAAGAAATCTGCACATAAATCAAACCAATGGTATGGGCAGTTCTTACCAATACAACAGCACAAGCAGTGACCATCAGTCTATCAAACACTGAAATCCATGACTCCCTCTCAGCAATGCCAGGCAGYGTGCCCATTCTCTGGCAGGAAATCACCCTCCTGGTGTTCCCAGCACATCCCACTGCCTGGCCTGCACGCTGGAGTTCCTCCACATCTGCAAATGGAGCTTGTTTGCACTTTGGTTTGCTTCTCTGCAACTGCACTCCTTGGATGCTGTGCTGCCTTCTTCTGGGTTCAGGGCTCAAAATAGTGCAAATATAACAGAAAGGTGTTATCTTATATGCAATGCAAACACAAATTCAAGTAACTTAAGGAGCCACAGGTCCCAGTTTTTGCCTTCAGGAGGAGCTCTTTCTTCAGGATTGGGAGAGCTGTAATTTAATGGCTTCRGTTCAACATTTCCTCTGCTAAGCTTCCATGCATGTCTCTGCAGCCGTGTCCTCTGACTGGTGACTGACACACAAGGTAGGGGACAGCACACAGGGACAGACAGACAAGCACTGTGACAGAGCAGGGTGACAGTGAGCGTGTAGGAGCTGCATTGCTCCGTGATAAACCCGCTGTGTGTGCTTTTCTGATATGGTGGCTGCTTGCATGAATACTAAGAGGGGCTCTCATCCTCCAGATCCAGGCAGATAGAAATGAAGAAGAAAAAGAGAAAGGAAGATTATTTTCTGAGAAACAAGCAAACCCTCTGATGGGCACTGTAAAATAAACCCAGCTATTCTGGCATCATTTACATCATGCTCCTAGAGTCAAGCTTTGCTATACTAGTAAAGCATCCTGGCATCCACAAAATCCCAAAAAGAAAGCAGACTGTTGTCAGGAAGCCCAAATTCATCATACAGGTGGCAATAAATCAGAGAGTGCTGAAAATTACTGCAGTAGGAAAACTAATTGGGAAATGTGGGCTCTACCATGCAGGTGCTGAGCTTTGAGATACAATTCAGAAGCCAAGAAATGTGGTACAGTAGTCCAAAGTGCCACCCAGAGAGTGCAGAGGGGTGAATGCCTTTACAAATATTCACCAGGGCTTGGTCAGAAACCTGCTCAGCACTTTAAAATTCCCCCAACGACCTTGAACTGCCCAACTTGATGAATACCCAGGTGGAGGATTACACAATCAGAACTGAATGCCATCCTACTTCAAAATGAGAACATATACACAGGGATTTAACACACTTTAATTCAAAGATATTGACTTTATAGAGTTTTTACTGACTCAGTGTTCTGGAGTGTCCCCATATGGAAAAACCTGTACATGTTTGAAAAAAAGAGAAAGTTATAGATGGGGTAGGGGAAAAAAAAAAAAAAACCAAAACCAGGCAGCTTGAAACAAATCAAGGAATTGCAGTAACACAGATTACCAAGAAGCTGAAGGGCATCTATTATCTTCAAGAAAGCATTTGAATTGATACCAAATAGAAATGCAACCTTGTGGACTTGTGCAGTGTAGTCCAAAAGACAAAATAACCAGTGCTTTTGCAAACAGGGGTTTTGGGATTTTTTGGAAAAGAAACCAACAAAAAAACCCTTGTCATAGTGACACTTACAGTGTCACTGAACTCAGTAACTCTTGAGAATTCATAAGTTAAAGAACTGTATCCCACAATCAGCTTTTTGAGATGATATTGTTACAAATCTTGTAAGGGTACACATCACTCTGCAATGGTACTTTTAATCAGAAGTTAGAATTAACAGCACACAGAATTTCTGTCTTTTCAGACTACCTTATAAAACATTGACTCCCCAGCTAAACATAGTTAGGAATGAAATGGAGCCCCAGTGGCTTTTTTACTTAGGAAAACTCAGTGGGCTTTATTTAAAAACTTTGCTGAGCAACTTCTCAGTTCCTGACACTTGCTCAGCATTCTCATGTTTGTTTGGAGTCAGTCATTCTCACAAATTAATTTGCATGAAACTTGATTTCAGTGCAACTTAATTGACTGAGGAGTTACATGGTTTGTTTTTCTGCTATTCCAAATTGAAGTGAAACAGTTTAGTCTTTAGGATGAAGTTCAAAACAGAGACCCTCTGTCTACCAGTGCTCACCTATGGTAATTGTGGGAGTAATAAGGAATAATAACATTCCTGATTGGCAAAGAAAGCCTTCTACCAATCCAAGCACATAGCACTAAGTGTCAGTGATGAAAAGTTTGTATTTTTAGTATCAAATACCAAAACTCCACATGTAAGGCAGCAGGAAATGAGACAGCTTTACTAGAGAACATTGCTCTGTTTGCATTCAGCATTGAAGTACTGCCCTTCAGAAAGAAGCGTAGTGGTGCACAAACCTGCAACATCATAAGGCAAAACCWAAGGAAAGCATATTATTTTATAATATGCTGAGATATATATGTGTATAAATAAAAAATGTAATAGCTATGTTATGTTTTTCCAGCRGGAATATCAAGCACTGCTCACAGGACAACTGAGGAAATTGCTGGAAAAAGCAGCTGCCTCTCAGCTAAACCAACTTGGTACACCTAGAACTACTTCAAAGAGCTTTATTTGAGCTTAGACCACATCTTTGAAAGCATTTTTAAAATAGCTAAAAAATGTTTAAAGATRCATCAGGATCAATACAGTTCTACTTCTAGCCAGCAAGGACAGGAGAGTCTCCCTAGGGAAGAAAACAGGATGGTAATAATTGGGTTATCTTCTGCTGGCCCAGACTGGAACTAAGACTTCGTGTTATGAGGTGYCAGGGCTCACAAATTTGTTTGAACACTAAACTTCATAGCATGTCAAAGGCTGAACTTAAAGATCCTGGAGGCCTTTTCCAACCTTACTGATTCCAAAGCCCACCCAACACACTCTGATTTTGTGTACTGGTGAGATTTTCTGCACTGGCAAAATAAGCAATCTCATGACATAATTTCCCAACACGTCAAGACTCAGTGTCAAGATTACGCTTACCTAAACAGTAGGCATAGACTTAAAAAAAAGGAATTTAAAATTCAAAGGRAGTGAAAATATTCCTGCTGTTATTTGGTAAGTCAGCATAGGAAAGGTACACGATTTCTTACTTGAAGTTAAAGAGTGCCTAAAAAAAACCTACGTCCTAAATGTGAGCTTAAACCTCAAACCAAGCTTGAGTAAAGAAAATTTTGAACAAATAATCTTGCAATTTAATCCAAATGGTAAGCATTGAAATCAGTTGGATTTTAATGTTAAAATTTATAAAAATGTTTATAAATTACATTCTGGCACTTTGAAAGGGTTCACTTAATAAATTACTAACACTTTTAATGGCATTGTGCCAACTGGGACAGCCTCAGTAGGAAGGCAGAGATACAGGGTGAAATGTGAGAAACACTGTAAACATCCTAACTGAGTATAAAGGTAGTCATAAATCATGAGGCTCATTGTTTTTTAATCAGATGTGCATGACAGAGTCAAGTGGGCAGTAACAACAGTTCTGAACAACTGAGTCACATCCAAGGGAAAAAAGAACCCAAACAAAAAGGCAATTTGCTGCACAATTGCTGAGTGTCTCAGTTTGCTACATAAAAGCATAAATAGGTGGTTGTATTAACTGAACCTCTGCAACGAGTTCAGGAACCACAGTTTTAAAACAACTGATGGTGGCAAGTAAAACACAACCAACAACACTGTGAGAATGGAAAGTGCATYGGATGATTTGCCCTTACCAGTTTTTTTGCACTTTTAGTAATCAAAAATAATGCAAGGTAAAAAAACTGAAGCTGCACTGAAGTCATTGACAAGATTTCCATAGAATTCAACAGCATCAASACTTTATCCTAAAAGATTGTTTAATTACTTGGTTTCTACACAGGTAGCAGAAAACTTCCTATTTTGGTTCCTTCGGGGAGCATTAAATCGGGTTCTGAGCACCCCTGCCACCCAGCAGCCTCAAAGCACTCCTGGCAATCCTCTCAGCAGAACAGAGACAGATGTGGCCAGGCCAAAAACTGAGAGTTGCACTCAASTCCTTGGAACAGAGGCACAAAGAGGTTCCAAGATTTGCACAGAGTCAGCTGCGTTAGAGCCCAGGTGACCCAATCCCCCCAGCCTGTATGCTATCAGYCTAGAAGACTATGTTGATTTGCACACAGATTTTGACTCTGCAGGACTTTTTTTGGCCTGTACCCAAGCAGAGAATAAATCATGACTATCCAAGGTACTTGCTAGGTTCTGACTCTCGAGTAGGACTTTGTAACAGTTCATGTACTCAACAAGCTTTTGTCAGACTGATTTTCAAACTGCTATTGCAGACTTAAACCATGATAAGCTTCCAGTGTTACTGTATAATCCAATTATGATGTGAATAGGGAAGGTTTTTCTCAAAAATTTAAGCATAATTTTTCTGAACAGTGTCCTCTTCCTAGAGCCATTTAGCAAACCAGAGTACTGGTTCCATTAAAGAGTTTCACGAAAGCCAGTTAATTCAAGTCTTCTCAGTGAAGATATAGACAAACACACCCTTACGGAAAAAGGGGAATCGAAAATGTATAGGCAGTTAAATAAAATACAACATACAAAATAAGTTTTAATGCATTTTCATCCAATATACAGGCATTTGTGAGTATCAGCTACTGAGCTATAGTTCATAGCAAAACACCAAAGCATTGAGATAGTTGTGCAAATTCTTTTCTTAGTTCCTTGGCAAGCAACAAAAAGAGCTGAAGAATATCTACATAATTATTTCAAACACATAGAGCAGAACCCTGGAAGGTGCTTTTTGTACAAGAGGAACAACAGGAACCTGATTTCATTAAGGAGCACATACAAGAGAATCCTGCACCTACAGTTAGATTAAATCGACTGCAAGATTTATATGTATAAAACTACTTTATTCTAGTAGTCAAAATGAAGCCTTTTGAGAAATCTGAGTCATCAGCCCATAGTTCTAATAAAGGTGACTGCTGTGCTGTCCTTAATTGCCAAGCAAAGATATTTGATTGGTGAGCACGGGCTTCTGTAAAGCCAGAAAAAAATCTCATAAATGATGTTTTAGGAGAGCAGTGGGATAGTATGGGGCAAGGAGTTAGAATGCCACAAGATCAAACCCAAAATCTTCCCTCTGACACCTGCAATACATTAGGAGAAACCTTCTCTGCCCAGAACACCAGGCAACCCCCTGTCCTGTCCTAGCAAAAAAAAAAAAAACAAAGACAAAATAATCTGATACTGGTCTCGTCATAATTCCTTCAGGGCAAAGGAATCCCCATCCTTGATTTATCCTTATGTGTAATCAGTAATTAATTAATAATAAAATTTGTAAAAATTTGTAAGAKAAAAGAACTGGGAATGATTTTCCACAGTAAGGACTGGAACAATTTTCTTATTTTTAAATGGGCATTACTCAGGTAGGGGTAAGGTTTTTATAACAGAAAAATAGGTCTAATGCCCTATACTTTTAGAGGTCACACTGGTGTCTCTGCTTGTTTAAAGCTCCTCCCTTGTTCATCACAAGGGAGCAAAACTCAGAAAGCTTGAATTGATGGCATTGGTTCATCATGATTAATAAAACTGTGGTGACATTTGACTCCACAATATTTTCCAACCGTGCAGGCATTAGATTTTATTACAGAGCCCCTTTTGCTCCAACTCCTTCAGCTCTAGGACCTCATAAGGACAGCCAGCTGGGAACTCCAGCACTATTGTAAGGCAATTTGAATAGCAAGAGTTTTGCCCAGTAATTATTACAAAACCATTCTCACTTTTTTTTTAACATCAGAATTTGCAACAAGAGCCTACAATATTACTATTTTATGTGCCATATATTGTCCTACAAAAGGAGCAGAATGATGCCTAGCTTCTAAAAAATAAACTATTTCAGGCCACCAACATACTTCAGCTCACAAAATCACTTTCAACCTTTTGAAAAAAAAAAAAAAGGAAAAATAAGGCAGCACTACAAAGGGAATCTAACAGCCTGCCTTCAGGCTTGTGGACAGCTCTACTCATTGATTTGCAGCCAATGGTTTGGAAACTGTTTACTGAGAAAAATTCTGATTATCTGTTAGGCAAGCTTTTTTATCTGCTACCTTTTAATGTGTTAATTTACTCCACTGAAAAGCCAAAGRGCCAAATTCCCCCTCTGATAAGGCTTCTATTGTAGGAGCATCACTGAATGTGCACCAAAGGCATTATTCATCTGCAGAGAGATCACTGAGCAATATTGTCAAACACTTTTGAGCTGCACATCCTTGAAGAGCAGATAAAGGAATTGTGAAGAGAATGAGAAGGAACAGAACATCAGAGATGAAGAAAATTAGATAAAGGGCCAGGAAGAAACTGTTTGATGTAAACAGAGTGACAAGTTAGATTAAGAACTCTCATTAAAGCATGCACTATTTRCCCATAAGCAATTCAGGCAAGGGATTTGTTTACAACTCTGCCAAAATCAACAGCAGATGCAAAAAATTATCAATATTTGGATTTTAAATAATACTAAATCTACTGTATCCAAACATTCACTAAGACTGTGTGAAGGAAATACAGCTTGGGGCCGTTCTATTCTTTGTCACACTGAGTAAACAAGGTTATGCCCTGTTGCACACTGAATGCAGGCCCAGCAGAAGGTACTAACAGGACTGGACCAATAACTACTCCTTGGTTACTTTAGTGTGGACATGTCTCTGAAAATACTTATTAGGACCAAGATTTTATTACTGATGTGGAAGAAAATGTACCTTTCTGAGGAACATTTTAGGTATGACTCTATGCTAAGACAAAACCTGGTTTGACTTGTTACCAAGTCAGGAGAACAGAATTTAGAGATGTGCTGGAAAACTTGCAGTGTCACCTTGCACGTGACCTTCACCAGAAAATATCCAGCAAAAATTATCCATCAGAAATTATACAGATTCAAAATTAAAAGTAACTGCTTCCAGAGAAGATCGTGAAAGCCAAGTGAATCAAACCCAGTACCTTGCTCAAGCTCAAGCTTTTTTTTAATAGTGAAGAATTAGGGTTTTGGCAAAGGCCATTAGGAACAAACCCTATTCTAACTGAACCAGATTTAATGAGAGTTCCTCATTCCTTAGTCCCTTAGTCCCAGGTTAACATCCCCCTCTAGTGACCTCAATTTATTGTGGGGCGTTTTTCCCTCAGCAGCTCACTGGCTGATGGCCCTGCACGATTCTGTTAAGGTGATGGGAATTTGAGTAACCACTTTCCTCCTGGCATGGTTACAAGTTAAAAAAAATACCTGGCTGGGAAGAACATGCAGTGAGAGTGAAGTTACACAATGTGCTGGCAGCAAAACTGTCCCAAGAAGCTGAACTCGCTGCCTTTCCCCAGCTCCTCATTCTCACCCTTGTGCAGGAGTTCACTGCACATGAGTTTCCTTTCATGCCAGTTCCCTGGGGGGTCATGATGTGAGTCAGACCATTGTTACGATCTGTGTTAAAAATAACCCTTCCTAAACCAAGTCCCCTGCTAAAGCCAGCAGATTGTGTATTTGCACAAGTCACAGTTCCTTTGACACAGTGTTGTGCACAGAGAGGCAAAAAACTGTGTCAGGTGCCACTTTCTCAGGCTCTAAAGAAGTGTGTGACTGGCAAGGCACAGAATTCAAGCCATGCAGATTCAACCATTCCCATGCTGCAGAGTTCCTGAAATCCACGTGGCACCAAAATGCCAGCAGTGGGAATTCCTGACTGGTTTTGCAGGAGTCCAAACAAAAAATTCTCGTGGTCACTGGAGCTGGCTTCTAAAGGCTGACATAAGGTAAGCAAAGGCCTAAGGGCCTTCTCTGTTAAATCCAAAGTGAGATGACAGATGGGGATGTGACATTGTGGGAAACCACCAGCTACAGAGAAAGACAAAGCACCCATGTGCAAAGCCAAAATATCACCCTGCAGCTCGTGACTCAGCACTGCGATTCTTCATTGAGGGAACTGACGCTCATTTCTCTCAAACAAAAGGTGTCTTTCCATTTTATACTATCGCATGGAAAGACTTCTTGCAAAAAGATGTGGGGRAAAAAAAAGACAGAGCTTCCTGTTAATTAAAGATAATAATTGACAAGCTGAGTCTATCAACAAAACACTGTTTAMAGCCAGCAGACTTTTTTCCCCATAGATTGCTTAAAAGATTAGAAAAAATGCTGGCAATTATGTATTTTCATCTCTTATCTGAAATTTCTTTGTATACTGAGAAAGAGACCTGAAGGCAAAGGTGAAGAGAGCAGATTTCTTTTGTTAGTTGAAATTAACAGTCCAAATGGCACAAMCTTAAGGAGAGCTTTATGGCCCATCCCCAACAGTCAAAAAGGACCCATCAACTATGAGACAATTGGATTTGATCTCATTTTTGCATTGCATAATCTCTGGTTGTACAGTGCAAGAGTTTATAAGGAATAAAAAGGAGGGCCTGAATACACACAGTATAAAACACAGCTACTACTTCACTCACATTTCAACGTCCTTCTGATGAACACACAAATTCTATTACTCTTTTGCCATTTTGGACAACATTGTACAGAACAATGGCAGCAAAACCATTATTTTTAAAGATGTCTTACAATGTGCTTTTGAGTTGCAGCTCCTGGCTTTTGAAATGTTCAAGAGAGAAGATAATAATGACTTGTTCTTTACTTGTGTTTTGAAATGGTATTTGCTTCTATATTCCAGATAAATCAGAAAAAAAGGAAACACAAAATCTGCATTATTTTAAACTATTCTGTGTCCTGCCAGTGTCTCATTTGTATGCAGCATACACTAGATTTGCCTAGAAGGATTTAGCTCAGTAGCTGGCACGTTTACATCAGAGAACAACATACAGTTTCAATCGATTTCAAGCATTCTGACAATGGGAAATAAATATGAAAAGTGGTTGTTGCTCAAAGTTCAAAAAATGCAATCGACAAATTGTAAAAGCGCAAAAGGCCAGACAAATTTAATAAAATATTTCCATTTACCTTCCTCAGCTTTACACAGCCTGTTCCAAATAATAAGATTCTCTGCAGAGCGCCTTTATCCAACTGTTTATATCACTTCATACAAAATATGTGTTTGAATTACCACAGCAATACAAGGATATAAATTCCCAGCCCACAAAATGCCAAATTCAACATAAGTTATGCTTTCTTGGCATCTAGATGTTTTCCTTTTCTGTACTGCAAATACATTTTCATTTGAAACAAATTAAAAAGCATGATGTTAAAACATAATGACAGCTTAGAATTCAAGTGACTTGTGCAACATTATTTTGTGCTTTCTACTTCTCCATTTCCTCCTACTGCAATTAAAATTCATCATGCCCTACTACATGTACAATAGCAATGCATCAAGTTCAGTCCAGTAGAGGTTTTCAACCTTCACACTCAGCTTTATACTACATGAGATCCTTGCACAATCAAAAAAAAAAAAAAAAAAGTGCATCTTTTTTCCTCATCTTTCTCTTACACTGGATGATGTGAAGCTCGGATTAGTTGATGCAGGAATGCAACCTTGAGGTACGATTGCAGCCTTGGAATGATTCTTAAATGTAAAAAGAAAGTTTTGGAGCACTCACGCCCTTTCTGGGTTTTAAAAAAAGACACCACTGTTGTAGTGCTACTGGAGCCATGGTACAGTACATCATGGCACACATCCATAATGTAACCAGGGACATGAGAGACAACTCCTATTTACAAAAACTTGATGTCACTTCCAGAAAAATATGAAAAAAAAAAAAAAAAAGGAAAGTATGATTTCCTGAATGTCCTGAATTTTTAGAAGATTCTTTTTACTTTCTCTTCAGCAACAAAGTGGTCCTCCACAACTGCATTTTTCCCTGACCTTTTTGAGTACGGACCATAAGCGACACCAGCAGGAATTGGGAATCATATGGCAAACTGCTTCCTTTGAGAGGATGCTCACCCACGCCCCTTTACTCACAAGCCAGCTTGCTGTCAAAACTGGAAAGGGCAATGGCAAAGGCTTGTAGTGCACACATTGGGTAGCTGTAGTCCATGGTGAACACGTCCTCCGCCACGCGGCCAAACTGCATCACGATATAATCAGCTGCAGGGAAGGGCACAAGAGGCAACAGAGTTACTTCTTGCAGCCCTCACTACATAAGTGTGCATCCAACGCTACCCTCTGTCCCAGGTCAACRAAATACCAACCAAACATGCTCACTCATCAAACCTCGCAGCACTTATTCATGCAAGTGGATGTGCTGATGGCAGAGGGAGAAACAAGGATAGCTTCAGTGATAAAGGGTTGCAAGAYTTGTTACTGTCCAAAAAAACCCATGCAAAAAGTAATTTTTATAAGCACAGAGAGAAGATAGCTTCTATATAGGATGCTATACCTCTTATACAGATCTAGTACCAGGTTTCACAYGTAGCAAGAACAGATTAATTCTATTCTCACATAACTTCGGGCAAGTGGATAAGAAAGGATAACAGGGGAAGAAAAGGCATGATTGTAATCTAGATCTAATCATACCTCTCCTGTTACAGCATATTCAGAAATTTTTCCCCAATCTTTCTTTGCACTCTGTCAGCAAGAGGAAATCTAAGCCTCAATCACAGCTGGAAATGTTTAATTGCAGAGGCAGGGGGAACTGCTTCACCTTGAAAAGTGCACCAAACACATCCACCAATGTTTCAAATGGAGTGTTGCTCTTGGAGAAAGGCACAGCCWCATTCACCAGTTTCCCATTCCCTGCAGAATACATGGCACTGGAATACCCAAAGTGCTCCAGCTTGCACCCATGTCACAGCCRCATGGCAGAGCAGCACTAAACTGGACCCACAGAACTGAATTAAACCCACTCAGGTGACAACTGTGAGGRCAGAATCCATCCCAGGCTGTGTATGCAGTGCTGTGCCTACACCTTACAGACAGAGCTCTACTTACGATCATTATCATGAATAATTTGGAAGTTTTTCACTGAGGCCTGTGTGACTCGACCATGGAAATTCAGAACATAGGACTGGGTGTCATCATTCCAGACTGGTGTTTTGTTGTGCAGCTCAATGACACTCTCTGTATTTTTGTTCTGCCACCTTGCAAGAAGCGTCTCATGTTCCTGCACACACCACAGATACACACTTCAGTTTAACACACTCACGTGACAAAAAACACATTAACAAGGAAGAAAAAAATCAACAGTCCTGGCTCAAAGACTAAACTCTTACCCTCAACCCTCAATATAGCTTCAATGAATGAAACTGAGAACTCTAAAGATCTAAATGCAAATGTGCATTTGAGTCCTTCCCACAGCTTGAGAAGCGTTTTCTTTGGTTATCAAAATACTTTATTATTTGTAATGCTTTTGTGAGTCACATTAGTAATCACATCCCATTGTTCTCCAATTGTTCAAATATTTTAATAAACTCTAGACTTTCAGAAATGCAAATAAAAACTACCAACTCTACCTGGAAAATAMGGGGTTTAGTGCTAGCTGATGATATGACTTACATTTCGTGGTCTGATGGAAACTCTTTCATGATCCATATTCATTCCTGGTATGATCACACTCATTTTACGAGGTCCTTTAAACCCCAAGACATTTGTTTCCTAAAAGTGTTTAGAAAAGATTTCATCATCTTCTTTATTTTTAAAGTTAATTTCTTCAACAGAGAGACACAGTGGCAGTCCAGGGAACTTATCTGTTAGTCAACTCAAAAAACATCTTGAAACTCCCACCTTCACTGGCACACYAAACATTCTAGCTTTGTCTTAGAAGCTCCGACAACAGGAAAAATGGAAATAGAGAGGTTTCCAAAAACACTCCTAGCACTGGCTGCCAGCAACATTAATACTTTTGGTTTTTTTAATCCCTTTGTTTAAAAAGGATATGAATTAACCAGATTGCTTGGCTACTGCTAGATCCCAAAATAAAGTGGTTGCAACTTAAAAATCATAAAATGCAGTCACACATTTTAATGTGAAACAGAATTAAATTTATGGGACTGGTTCCATTTATTCCAGAGCCAGCACAAAAGCAAACAAAATKCTAGTCAGAGCATCTGTTAGCAGTGCTGTGGTTTCCAAAGTCTTCAGAGATGTTATGCTTAGAGAGGACCATGGTAAAAAAACAAACACATTAGCATGAAGGCAAATTTTCTAGCTATGAAAGCAGGAAAAGTAAGGAAATCACACAGGCAGCAAAATTAAATCCATGGAAAATACAAGTTCTTCCATTCGACATGATCTGTTCTTTCCTGACCAGCTTTTCACAAAAGCACTCCAGCACTGCATTGTCCTCTCAAAACACAACCATTAAAATCTAAACTAGCCTAAAGCTTTATTTCTCTCTGACCCTTTTTTTTCTCCTACAGAAGCAACCAGGGCCAAATATTTCAGTAAGTTATTCTCTGCTTTTGAACCAGAAAAAGTAAAGAGCAATATTTCCCAATCTGCTCAATAAAACCTGATTTTAGCATTAACTCAGTAAATGAAACAGTGACACCTCAAAGTCCATCTCCTCATGTTTTGTGATAGCTTGTTTTTCAGTCACAGGTATTTTTTTCCCCATCTACCATTTGTTAGTGAAGGGCTTTGGAGATACACTGAGGAATCTCAGGAAGAACATTCCCATTGTTCCCAGCAGCATACCACAAGATGCCAAGAACCAGACACCCCTGGGCTCCAGCTGGTATGGCTTTAACACTGGGACGTTTAGAAGTGTCATATCCAGATGTTTCTGATTTTATATTTTTAACTGAAGTGTCCTGAATTTATGGTACACTAAACTTATTAAAACATCTTGACTTTTGCAAGCAAAAATCCGTGCACCTCAACTCACTGGAAACATCTGAAAATACCATCTAAAATACCCACAGCTTTGTCATCATCAGACCTTTGAAATAACTTTGCCTGTTCCAGCAAACCATCTGGAGGTTTTCCACAACTCATTAAAGACTTGCATGCAAGCAAGAAAAATTCTACTGGATTATTTTACTGCATGCTCCCRAAGCAATCCAGGCATATTTATATATCTTCCTAACTCTGCACATTAATGGGAAGATTGTGCCTCTTTTCTGAATCATTTATGTCCCATCCTTTGGCAGAGTAAAACATGTTATCAGTTCAGCTGGTTCTGCATCATGGCAAGATGAAAACTGATATGACTGCCAGATTTTAYAAGTAGGAGAGACTCAGCACAGCAGAGGACAAGTTCTAAGAAAAGATTCATGCTTAGGCTTATTTTCCACTATCTACTGACAATTTTGGGCTTCTCTGCTACGCCTTACAAGCTTTTTTTTCTCCTCAAGCTGCAGTTATGCTATACATAATTAATTTAGATGCTGACTGGTTGAAGACGTTGAAGGTAAAATTAAATAATAGTGCTGAATCACTTCCCTCCCAACAAGCAGAGGAAAAAACAGGACTATGTTCTTTGGGTTTACTCAGAAACACTGAAATTGGTACTTCTGGCACATGATAAGAGAATGGTTCCAGCTGCACATTACCACCATCACCAATTATCCCACACTGTGCTGGCAAATTCTACCCTTTTGCTAAACTCACAGTACCAAACTGAAATTACATAAACATGGAATATGCGAGGAAAATGATTAAAATTATGTTATCTCCTGCCTCCCTCCCTGCTTCTGTTTTATTTCCCTCCTCCACTATTCTCTGTGTAGAAATTCAAGACAACAAACATTATTAGGGGAACATAAACCAAATTCTGATTTCCCACCATTTTAATTCCACTGACGGTCTTGGTTTACACTGGAACACAAGTGYTGTTCACTGGCAGAGCCCGTGTTGGTTCTACCAGGTTACCCCGATTTAAATCAGCTTAGAGTTTAGCCCAGTATTGCTCAGAAGCTGCACTCTCTGCYTCAGCCCATCCACTCAGCCTCACAATGAACTGGGCTGCAAGAACACAGAGCCTCTCCCCAATGTTGCCTTTAAATCTTTACACACTTTCAAACAATTATGTAAGCACAATTATGTTGCTTTAGTGGCAATAGCTGCCACGCTAAAAGCAGCAAGGTGAATATCCCAGCAACTCCCAGCAGATTCCTGACTTTATTACCCCAATTTTCTTGCAGCCACTTCCCTTCCTGGGCTTGTTTCACACAGTGGTGCCTTGTCCTTAATATCTCCTGTAGAAATTTGGGGAAGGCCCAGATCACAGGATGCACAACACCAGAAGAGCACAATGCAAGTGACTGAGGCCTGAGCAGGACACCAAGTCTTATTACTTTTCTGAAACCTGAGTCACACCTCAGATCTCAGCTGAGCTCCCTGCCTGGAACTGGACACAAACTGAACTATGAGACATAGGGATATAAAGGAATCCAGCGAAGAAAATCCTGGTACCAGTGGCACAGTTACACCTCACTGCTCCTGATAAATTTTGCCAACAATTCTGCAATCAGCCATTAGGTGCTGCTGCAGGTTCATTAATATGCTGGGCTGCCAACAGTGGGGGAGAAAAAGAGGTCAACAGCACCTGAGAAAACTCTGTCCTTGCCTAACTCTGTTCCTGCTGCTTGAAACACCTCTTAAGGTGAGCTTCACAAAGAGTCCTCAGCACATTTATCCCACAGTCAGCCACAGACGCATCACCAGTTTCTGCCTATATAAATTAGACCTGCTGAGATGATTAAGTTGGGTACAGTAAGTTGGGTACAGCTTGATCTCCACATGGATACTCGCTCAGATGAGCCGAGAGACAGTGAAAGGCATAGCGGTGCTTTCATAGTATTGTTTTTTATAGCTTTTGCTGCAGAGGAMATCTCAAGGCAGGAATTAAAAGACTGCCTTAAGATAAGGGTGCTTTGGTACTGCTCTTTCTAGCACTCTCTGCTCTGGTTCTGCTGCAGCCAGGAACAATCATCTCACTTCAGCAAACCTGGCTACTTTGAAATGAAATACAATTCCAATTTCCTTTTGTCCTCTGGCCACACCACACCTGCAAGCTTGCTGCCTTTCTCCATTAGTACCAAAATATCAACAGAACAAACAATTTTCTTATACAAATGTACCAGTTTCAAAGTRCTGATTACAAACAGACATAACAAAGCAGCTTATCTCAGATCCATTCTCCAAACAGCGGCCATGGTTTGGTTCTTCCCAACACTCACACTTCTAATTAACTCTGCTGACCACAACAGCTATTTATTTTGGTATTGTTCATCATTCAAGTATCATTTGTTGTTGACTCAAGCAATGCCTAAATGTCTCACATATGTAACTTTTTAAAATTGGGTTTTGTTTCCTTTTTGCCTGGCTCCAGGGAATGCCATCTTATACAAAACAGTAAAAGTACATTTAKCAAACATGCATACATTCTGCTAGGTTTCTATTGAGTCTTCAGTCAGACTGATATCAAATCCTGGAGTTTCTTTCTAAATCCTGCTAGCTGGATTTTTGGAAATTCTCATCATTTCAAATCCAACAGGAATGGAGGTCTCCACCCATAAACCATATGCCTCAATAACAGTACTTGTGAACAAACACACGATCTATACTTTATACAGAAAAACGGCACCCTGAGCAGCAGGAAGAGACCATGCTGGCAGCTAATACTGCCCTCCTTCAGAACTCCCAGCACTTTGCATGGAAATGAATGGCTCTCTGCTTTCCTGCTCATGGAAATCTTCCAGGTGCATTGCTCCCCGCAGCCCAAATTCCACCTTTCTGGGAAAGCATTCTGTGCATTCATGGGGTATGTGGTGGACCTCATCCTGACAGATTTCCAGGCATCCATGATTAGAGCTGGGCAGGAACTTCTCAGAAAAGTAATTTTTGGATATTTTTATCAGCAGTTGTTGATTTATGAAACCAAACTTTCTGTAGCAGTATATGTACCAGTTTTCACTGGAAGGGTTTCTTGAGCACAAATATTTCTGGACAGAAGGAATACTGCCACCAAAAATGTTATTCATGCAGTAATTATGAACCAACAGCAACTGTGTTTCAAGTCTTGATTGTCTGCATTACTCCTAACAAATGCTACTTACTCTCCTGTAAGAGAGAGTAATCAAATTTTGGATTTTGCTTGGGGTTTGCTTGGGTTTTTCTCCTGGTAAAAAGGAGTTTTAGAGTTTTTATGCCAGTCTGTCAGCTAATGCAGACCTAGCTGTCCAGCTACCTATGGTTTGGTTCAGAGAGGCCTCCTCCAAAATGCCATAACAAAAAATCATACTTCAGAGCCGTTWTGCCATGTGCATAACTCCTCCTGGAGTTCAGGAGGCTCCCTCAGGTGGCGCAGGCTATGATCCTACCCCTTCCAGAGGGTTATGTAAGAGCTCCAACACCTTCTTCTCACCAAGGTGAGAACCGGGCAACCCTGYTCAGTGCACAACGTTTTTCACCTCTGCTTTCCACTGAGTCTCCCGCTTTCTCTAGCAGGGATCAGCTGCCTGGTTACATCAAAGTCTGAATGCTGATTTACATAATCATAAGTGAGAAGGAAATTCAGWGTGCTGCTTTAGAAACTGAGCTGCCCTTCCCGCACGCTGCGCCTGTGAGCAGTACTTACATAACAAATAGCAGCTAGCTCCTGACGCAGGGTACTCGCCTCCAGGCTGGATGTTGTTTTCATTGGATTTACTCCATTGTCATAAACTGTAAACTTAGTTCCCATAAGATTTGATCTACCAAAAAAATGGAAAATCCAATGACCATTTGTCAGTAATGCTGCCAGAGACATCTATCCTTTACTGCACTGTGGCTGCAAAGGAAAGACAGAGTACAAAGAGTTGCTCTCTCTCATCCAAGCAACATGGCAACACCTGGATTAAAAGCTAAAATGACAAAAATGGAAAGGTACAGTACAGAAGTGTACACTAAAGGTCCCCTTATCATTATGCTGGAGACTTCTGATAGCATCTTGCACACTAGGAAATTCAAGAAAGCAGTAAGGAAATGCTCGGGTGGGGTTTTGTTGCTTGTCAGCTTGGGTTTTAAAATACACTTACTCTCTACAAAACCATCTGCTTTCTTACCTGACTACTAAACTCTATAGAATGTAGGGAGTGACTTTTATAAAGCCAGAACTAAGATCAATCTTTCMTATTTCAGTGGAATGGAGTGCAAAATACAACACAGGCACAAATGATCTGAACATACATCCAGACGCTCTATGGAGGTATCAACAGGAGACTGGCTGTGCAATGTAGGAACACTCAGAAAAGGTGATTCTGAAAGAATTCCACTACCTGTAAATAACCAATCTGGGTGTTAAGGAACAGGCAAAACCAAAGGGATTTTCAGACTGTGCAGCAGTGCATTCCAAAGTATTGATATCAATAGAGGTGTGACACAATGTACTCACGCACTTCTGAAAATCCCATTAAGATAAGTTGTGCTGGTACACACTTGAGATTCTGGCTTTTGAGCACTTAAGAGCTTCAGTACTGCTGACTTTTATAGAATGTGGTCCTGTAAGTACTTGAGACAKTTTGAAAACATGCCTTGGATACTAGTGATCTTTGAGACCATGACCACATGATCTAGACAAGCCTTTAATTAAGAAGACATAGTGGCTTTCAGGTTTCTTAATATCAAATAAACTCTACATTCTATGAAGAAAATTCTTGGCCTTATCACCATTTACCTCAGCTTTCCAATGAAACTCTCTCCACCCCGAGACAGGTCAGTTGGGTCTATAGAGATGAGGTAATTAGAGGTTTTACTCTTCTTTCGTTTCCTTCCAGCCAAGAGAAACACCTAAGCAACGCAAAAAAAAAACATATTCTAGAATGCTGAAGGAGTTAGAACATAGCAGTTCGTGCTTTGATACAAGGAAACCAAAGGCAATTTCTCTTCAAGCATCACTAGCAAAGTAAAAGAAGATCTCCTGGGATTCAGCAAAGCCAGGAAAAAATATCTGGTAAGGGAAAATGACTTCTCAACCACTCAGTCTATTATTTATGGTTTAAATAATTAAATTGATCTATTTTGTTAAATGTTTCATTCTAAGTTGCTCTGGCTCTTTCAGCTGAATTGAAAGTAGATGCTTTTCAGGCCACAGAATGCAGAGAGCCCCAACTGCTGGCAGYCACATAAAGGTACCCTGCATGGATTATTTAAGGCCAAAGATTAGACTTATGAAGAAAGGCAGTGTAAGCCAATGATCCTGTTGTTTGGCTTTGAGAAGGCTGTAGGGTGATCTAGTGAAAGCAATAATATATTTCAAATACAAGATTACATTTCCTTTGTAAGACTTCTTCAGATTTTTATTATTTTTTTTAATATTCAGATGCAACTGGTATGCCATTCAAGTTATTTTATGACCTTTTTACCATGCTCCCTTTCCATGTGGAGGTAATAAGTAGGGTACATCCCTCGGTCCATTCCCTTCTTGTCTCTGGTGATCCTGCACTTGACAGTGACCCCCTGTGGAGCAGGTCTTACAGAAAACTCCTCCAGGTCATCGACATCTATGAGAGGCTCATTTGTGGAAGGACTGGGGGCTGAGGCTGCTTCCTGAAACAAAAAGCAAAATTCAGGTTTTCTCAGCTTCGATTTACAAGGTTGTAAGCACAAAGAAAGAAGCTGCACTTTTATAAAATCTGACCAAGGGACATATTGTGTGGCTGATGCTTAGATCCACCTGGCAGAGCAGACAGAATGCTGTACAGAGGTTACAGAGCAAACCCTGGCTCACACCTTCATAAATCAATACACTCCTTTAGTCAGAAAGACCACTCTCAAGGATAGGGTGGCCTTTGATGGAAGGAAGAAGTGGAATAGGGAGCAACAGTTTAAGCTACAGAGAGATCTAACAAAGATGAGAAGTCAGTGTAGTATGTAAAAGAGTGGGGCACCATYGACTGGTTTAGCAGGAGCTTGTGATTTAAAATATTGGAACCAGCCAAAGTCTTATTTTATGTTCAGGTGGTAGCARAGAGAACAGGGTGGGAAAATGCCCAGAAAAAGTCAGTGGAAAACAAAAGATCCTTCTGAGCACCTGCAGGAGGTAGAAAGGTAAATATTTACTGTTTACCTTTCTCTTCATTCAAGTCCAGACAATATTTGCCATTCTTTTCTCCGAGTCATTATTTTCACTGCTTGCTCTTGTGAAGCCTGAGAGCTATCACAGTAAATCACCTTGGAGATACTCCAGTGCATATTAAAAACAGAACAAGAAAGCCAAGCCTGTCCTGAGTGCACTCTGAAATCATGCAGCATGTAGCAACTGGCACACCCCTTCTTCAGAGCTCTCCCCTTACCTTATTGGATTTCTTGCTCGTGGCAGAACCTGGCCGGGTGTTACTGTTTAACTGTGAAGAACTGGAGCTGTCTTCATCCTCCTCATCTTCTTCCTCATCAAAATTCATGCTACTTGAAATGCCTGTGGAGAAAGCAGATGCTAATATGAAATACTAATGCATTCAAGCTGTCCATACTTGCTGTAGAACATCCCTTATCAGACTGCTGCACCCTCAGGCTCACAGGTGAGTGAGGGGGTGTGTGAGAGCGGTTCATTGCGTGAGACAGTGTGTGAATACACCGTGAGACAGCATCTGTCCTGAGAAGCCAAAACAGTCAGGTGAAGCACAAAGGAAACATCACCGTTTCCATTCCACAGAGAGGATTCAGTGACACAGGAGCAAACAGTCAKTTAGGAACTAAGTTCAGATCATCCAATCAAATACTTCACACACAACACAAAATCACAAACCCGAAGGACAACCTAGCACAGCCACTTGGAAAGCTCAACAATTAAAACACGAGCCTCTTCACAGMACACTGTTAGCTGTTCCTACAGCTGTTCCTACAGTCATCTGATGAAGGGCAGATCTTAGACTGGGAAGCAACATTCACATCAAGGAAATGTTTTCATGCATCTTGATTTCATGTAAAGAATTGTATCAGCCCAGGCCAACAGAACTGCCTTACAGCACTTGAAAATTTGACTTTACAGAAATTCAAAACTTCAGACATTTCAAAGGGAAACACAACTTTGAACATCAAATAGGTCTTAGCAGCAAGAAGCATCAATGGTGGGACATTTGCCAGATCTAGTTTTTCAAAGAGCATCATGCAGATGAAGCCACCCGTATTCAAGTTCAAGCTCTGTAAGTTCCACATATTAGAGGCTCTATTTTATTCTTTAAAAAAAAAAAAAAACAAAAAACATCACTTGGTCCAGAATTCCCATTACAGGTAAGTCCAATGTAGAAGGATAAATGAAATGCAGATTTCCAGAGCCAAGCAGCATGGGCATAAGCAACTTTTTCCCCCTGTACTTACCAGGAACATGATCCAGGGCGACAAGACTGGATTGGGAGGTGGAAGAGGACCAGGATGTATTTGCATGGGGATCTGGGAAAGGAAAAAATCCAAGGGTTTGATTCTGCAAACCCTTAATTGACTGAACAAGCGTAGTTTGGCAAGAGAACTCCACACAAGGGTAAAGGCTTATGGTATGGGGCCATACTGCTGCTGCTTGGATTCGCAATTCCTGCACTGCACAATCAAATTCACCTTCTACCTGCTTATACCTGCTGTGATCTTCTTTCTCCATACCTTTAATAAAGTGAAAAAGCCCCGGATCACAGAGCTGAAACTTTGGGAAACATCATCTACACTGTGCAGTTGTGCCACACAAACTTCTGTGTGTGATGTGCCCTGCATGGTAGGGTTTGGGCCTACTTTTGAATCCTAACAAAATAAAAACCCTCAAACGTGACTGACATAAGTGATATACACAGATTCTACACAATATCGAGTCAGTAACAATGAAAGAAGTATTCAGATTCAAGATCAGATGGCCTAAATTCTACCTCAGTCCCTGTGCCTACAACATCCTGATCACTGAAAGATGAAATCGGGCTCTCTAAACTGTTGTTCTGGGAGTTCCTGGGATATGCAAAAAGATTTTCTTGCAGTTCAATCTGTTGAAATACAAACTTGGTCTGTAACAAGCAAAAACTAAACTAAACTGAGGTACACAAATATAAACAGAAGACACAGACTCAGTAATAGTTTTCTTCAATTCAAATTTTGGAACAGATGAAGAAAGATTGAAAAAAAAAGGCTTTAAAATACTTCTTTATTTTACTGCTGCTTCCAGTAACTTCAGTTCACATCCCTTTAGAATATCCAGATGCACACTGGCTAGTGAAGCACCACCAGAGCAGTAAGAGTGAGAGTATAAAAGTAAACCATGCAGCATAAGAAATGCTTGCATTCTGTTCAGCTGACCCATGACAGGTCTCATTATCCACTTCTTCAGCTCCCCCAGTGCTGACATACACCACCGAGCACAACAGCAAAAAATTTCAATAGGATCTGGTTATGCAAGGCAGGMCTGAGTGCACAGGTCAACAGATATTTTCAAAGCCTGTAGAATTCATTCATTATTAATCACACATTCATTAATCAAAAGCATTATTTCTTAATAATGACAACCATGTTCTAGGCTCTGTGCATRGGTAATGGCACAGTCCATCTCCTCAGCTGGCAGCTGCACAATGAAGCYGTAATTCATATCCGCAGACCCAACTGGTTTATTTCCACACCTGTGCTCRCTATTTTGCCACCAATGTTTTAGTGGTGAAAGCTCTGTGCCAGCCATAGAAGAGTCTGTGCTCACAACCTGTGGGGAAAAATGCTGCAGGGAGCTCCTGTTTTGGCTTTGAATCCAGAAATGAAATCTATCCCTTCCCTAAATCTCACAACTTCACACGGCAAAGAAGAACTAAGAACCCCACTGCTCATTCCATGTCCTTTATGGAGACATATTGGAAACTGATAAGTGTGAGGACTAAATGTTAGTTATTCAATGTTAGAACTTATGGAAGTCTGATTCTGTCCCAGTGACTCATTCGCCAGGGAGGAATTCTGCAGATTAACACTTTGGAAATCAAAAGGGCGAATATCTCCTGCAGGAGGAAAATTATTCTAGGATGGCAATTTCCAGCAGATGGAGAAATCAAATAAAACATTTGGCATTTTCTTGCAAGTGGCATATTCTTTTCACACTCGGTAGCCCATAACCTCTTGTCTTGTAACAGAACTTGACTCACTGGGGAAGCACAGACGTGTGCTATGAGAAGTTTCTCTCCAGCAGGTTAGTGCYAAAGAGCAGAACAGGCACGAACCAGGGCTATGCAAATCCAATGGGATTCAGCTTTTCCCATCACACCAGTTAGCATTTCATAGAATCATGCTGTGATGGAAGGGACCCTTCAAGATTATGGAGTCCAACTCTTGGCCCTACACCAGACACCCCAAGAGTCACACCATGTGCCCCAGCRTGTTGTCCAAACACTGCTTGAAMTCTGTCAGGCTGCTGTTGTGACCACTGCCCTAGGGAGTTGTTCCAGTGTCCAACAACCCTCTGGGTGAGGAGCCTTTCCCTCATAAATATCCCATCTGAATTTCCCCTAACTCAGCTTCAGGCCATTCCCTGTGGCCCTGTCACTGTCACCACAGAGCAGAGATCAGGGCCTGCCCCTGCGCTTCCCCTCATGAGGTTGTTGAAGGAGGTCTCCCCCAACTGCTCCGGGCTGAACAGACTAAGTGCCCTCAGCCACTGCTCCTAAGGCTTCCCCTRTGGATCCTTCACCATCCTCGTGGCCTCCTCTGGACACTCTCTCATGGTTCAATGGCTTTTCTGTGTTGTGGCATCCAAAGCTGCCCCCAGCACTCGAGGTGAGGCCACCCAAGCCCAGAGCAGACCAGGACAATCCCCTCCCTYGCCTGGCTGGCGATGCTGTGCCTGATTCCCCCAGGACAGGGATGTCCCTCTGGCTGCCAAGGCACTGCTGGCTCATGTTGAACTTGCCATGGACCAGGGTCCCCCAGGTCCCTTTCTGCAGGGCTTTATCTCTGTGCTCTTCTCCTTTAACCCCACTCCATGCAAGAGAAGGGCTGATGGGAGACAGCAGCTCCAAACACTTCAGGTGACATGCCAATAAGGACATGCCACAACRAGTGAGCTGGCTCCATGAAGAGCTTTGTCTCTGCATAAAGGATCACAGGAATACTGGGATAATCCAAACTTTCTAAAAAGCCTTCTCTGCTGGTATCAAGCAGCAAACCATACACATTTAAGTGAAAACAATTTACTGCAGAGATGCTGCCAGCATTATCTTAATACCTGTCTTTGTGTCTCACCCAGCAAAGCTCAGCTGCTGATAAAAATGAATCARCCTCAGTATTACCATTTAAATAAAAGTGTCTCCCTCGCCTCAACTTGAAATAGACTAGTGGTTCACTGATCAGGAGTATACTCAGACCTGGTAAAAAAGGTCATACCATATATTTGAGAATATACAGAAACAAAGTAAACAAAAAAATTCCACTCACTGCTTCTATTAAAAACAAACACAAATTTGGGGAGAATAAAAATATATGATAACCTGGTAAAAAATCATCAAAACTAGAAATGTCCCTCAGAGTAAAAATCTGAGTGCTGTGACCTAATTTGAGAAGTGTGTGGGTACTTTTTAAGTCAATCAGCTTTAGTTTAGTAGTGTGCCTGATGATTAAATATTCTGAGCCATGGTCTAAGGCAACACAATCACCACACAGATCAGAACTTGTTAGTCATGCCCAACACCCCTGCGACTCAAATGCCCAGGAAATACCGCACTTGGAGAAAATCTGCCCATTTCAGTTGAAGCTGCTCACATCTGCAGGGTAACGACTGAGAAAAAATGAATCCTAGTGAGAACTGCTCTGGAGACAAGAGGCGGCATTGAGGTATGAATAGTCCATTCTACACGAGTCAAGTTTGCACTTAGATTTTGCTCTTTATACACAAAGAGTTTATTCTTAAAGCATCAGAGGACTCTTGGCTTGAGCCATCTTTGCTTCAAAAGCTGTACACTGAAGAAGAACAACTCCAAAGCAAATGTCTTCAGAAAATGCTTTGTGAGGATTTGGGGTTTTTTCCTTCCTACATTTAGTGTCTAAGGGGAGATAACAACAGTGCAGGAAGGAAGAGACAGATGCATGAATGTGTGCATACACAATCTATCTCCCAAAGCATGCATACCTCTGAAAAAAAAAATAAATTCCAGAGCATTTGAGGACTCTGCGTGGGAAACACTGGAGAACACACAGTGGTGTACTCTTCACCTCTGCAACCATGAACACACACTATGCAAACATGAACAATGTGTAACTGACTGCACCACCAAAATTGACATTTTMGTTTGAATGTTGCCATTCCCTGCTCTTTTTTCAACCACCAAGTAATTGATTTCCAGAGTTGTTCAGTATAAAAACGTGAATAGATGGAAGTGAGCATTGGCATCTGCCTGGTACCTTGACAGTGGCACTGCACTGCAGAGAGGGAAGCCACAGCCCCGAGAGCCTGCAGAGCTCTCTTGTTTCTTGGGACAAGAGAGAACTTCCTTGTTTTATTTTTCTTTAGGTTTGCAGTTTTGGTTAAGTAACAGAATAGAGCCTAACAGGCTCTGAGGAGAAGACACACACACTAACAAACTCCGCTTAGGCTAGGGCTGAGAGTGAGAATAGGAAATGGAGTCAATGTACCTTAAGCAAGCAGTGAGAACATGAAGGAASGTTTAGCTACTTACCTTTTTTCTGCATTGCCGTTCTAAGATCTTGTTTGCTTTGCTGTTGTTGGCCACTAGCCACTTTCTCTCCATCATCTTCATCATGACTAGACTGTCCAATAGTGAGAATCTGCACTTGACTTCCTATCTTCTGAACATCATCTTGAAAAGCAGCTGGGCCATCAATCCCTGTCAGATAGCAGCAAAAGCCTTAGTTGTCTTTGTGTCAGGAAGTTACTGAAAAGATAATTGCTCACTCACAAAAAAAAAAAAGCATTTTTTCCAGGAATCAGAGATTGCATGTTCACATTCAATAATATTTCCAGACATAAACAAGACTAAGCTAGCCTCCAAGGCAAACATTTCACTTCCTACATACTGCACCAGAGAATCTCCAGGAGAGGATCAGGATTTTGCTGTTGCCCTCCCCATCCCAAAGCACGCCCACCCCATGCACCACTAACACTGAAAACTAAGCAGAAAAGAAATATGTTGGAAAGAACTAACRAAGAAAACAGATCAAATTTTCATAATGGTATATAGCTGAAACAGATAAACCCGAGTCCCAGAYTATGGCATATCCCCATATAAACATCACTGCTGTCCTGAAATACTTTAAAGCTTCAAAATTTCACAAGTAGATCTGGCACTGTATCCAACAGAAGGACAGCATGTTAATAAGCCTAAATACACCTGAGTTAGGAAATTGCCATACAGTTAATACATCAGAGAGAAACTATAAACTATCAGATATTCCCTGGAACTTCCATCCTCTGAGATGCGAGGAGCTGCAGGGATTGGGATTTTTTTTTGGCCTGTGATCTGTAGCAGGAGTCTCCAGGAATACCATTTCAGCCTGCTTTGCCAGCAGCTGTCAGCTTGCATTAAAAGACAGCTGGATTATACATTTAGCATGCTTAGCTGTACTTTGCAATATCTGTTGTTACTGCCACTGCAATACGAACCAGAATTGGAAAAAGGAGAGATCCACACCCTCAGGAACAGCTCTAGCTGTGCAACCACTCAAAGAGATGCAGCCCAAACTCACAGAGTTCAAGACCACAAGGAATTATTGATTCATCTGCATTTTACAGACCCTGGCAATTTCTACACCAAGCSTGGAAATTCTGATTTACTTGCAGCAAAGCTAACAGCAACAACTAACAATGAATAAATAATCCGTCCATYCAACCTTGAAGAACTAAATAAAGTCCATGGAAATGCCTTTGTGACCTTRCTAGGATGACAATTTCTGAAGCAGCTCTGTGTGATGCAGAATGAACAGTATCATTTCCTACGATGTAGGTATAGCATAGCAGTGAATAGAAAACATTTTTCTTGAAACTTTTCCTAGGAGAACCACCACTGCAAAGGTACTCTAGAACAAACAGGCTCAGACACTCTGAGGTATTTTTAACAGCTTTTACAATATCAACCATTATCATTAAAGTGGCTGCCTAAAGTTAGGCTCTTAYCTTAATACTCTGAATTTCAAAAGTGTTAAACATCCACGAGTTTAACAAGATGCCTCATGCATATTTTATCTAGCCCCTTATTAAGCTTAGGATGATACAAACCTAATTTTGAGCACCCTTTTGAGAAGGAACAAAACACCTTAATTATTCCTCTTCAAAGCAGACATTGATCTGCAGCAACTGAAATGCCTTTGACAGCGCTGGAGATGGCACTGAGGCTGCTTTTTTCAGATGCCTGCAGAACATCTGCACTCGCATCCCATGCTGTCAGGAACATCGTGTATTATTAGGAGTCAGGACAAAGGCTACACTGGCAGGTCACAGTTTTAGAGGAGAAAAATCAATTTYGGTATTCTGAAGAGTACATCACTGGCGGAGGGTGTTATTAAGCATTATGAATGGTTCCACTGGTGAGCACATTTAAGGCAATGAAATATGTAGCAACACAGAGAGGATTAAAAAAAAACCAAACTAAAAAGAAACAAATCTCTGTTGCAATAGAACACTGTAGGTGGTTCGTGGCAAATGCAGCATTAACTATTTAATACTTTTGTGTATACATAGATCTTTGTAACTATACATGCACGTGTAAAATAGGATTAAATGCAAGCATATTCTTCATTATCACAGGATATAAGTGCATCTTTCTAAGTCCTAGTTCAAAAGGCAGCTTTACCACCACCTACCAGATGTCTGGAAATACCTGAAAACATTTCCAAGCTTGTGTAATCACGATACTAAAGGTGGATCTCTCCCTTTCTTTACCTCACTGACTCCTTTTTATCCACTTCCTGGAAGGATGGTTCTCCATGGAATAAAACAAACCACTCATCTAGTTTCTGTGCTTAAGGACAGGCTCAAAAGAGGCAAAGAAGCTGAGTGGGTTGCCAAAAAATTAAGTTTTTATTGCTGTGGTCAGCATTTTTCACAGTGGTTCCCAAAAATCAGGAAGGGGGAATATCTGACAGAGACGGCTTTGAATACCTGCTAAGAAGAAATGGGAAATTTTGAGAGGCCAATGTGAAGGAGGACAGAAAGGTAAGAAGATTGAAAAAACCCTCAGAATGCCAGTCCCTTCAGTAAAGGCCTCTGGTGCACTTTGACATGGTCATGTCCCAGATGAAAACCAGAGGTACCAGAAATGAAAACAAAGCAACACTGGGGGAGAAAAAGAGCATCAGTAAATGAACATTACTGGCATTTATATCCTGTAAACTACTATTGATCAATGCCTGTATTATCTTAGCACCTAAAATCTTCTAGACAATACTTACAAATAGGCAGCACCAATCTCTTTATCTAAACTACCGAATGGCAAACGAGATTACATATCAGGAAAGGAACAGAGCACAGAAAACAAGTAATTCTGTCCCTGCTTTACTGCTGAGGAGCTGCAGGATATGAAAGTTCTTGTTGTCATTTTATAGAGCATTTAAGGCACAAATCTGATGTGTGAAGCTGGGCACACTGCTCACAGACTAAGAATATGATTATGCCCTTTGCAGATCAGATCTGGAGAGCTGGCCAAGGTCAGGCAGGAGGTCTCTGGAAGAGAACATGCATTTCCTGAGCTCAGTTACACTCTGACAAAGAGGTCATATCCACRAGGATAACACCCAAGGCTGTGGGTGCAGCTGCTCTTCAAGACCACTGCAGAGCAGCTCTTCCTGCAGCCCTTCAAAGGATGGCCTGCACTGAGGCCAAGGACAGGGAATCTCAGGGAGATCTGACACCAGAACAAAGAGTTTCCAGCCTTCAGAGAATTTGGCTTAAAGCAAAGCCTGCTGACAATATTTTCAAAGACATTTCCCAGTATATTCCTGTTCTCGTGGGGGGCTTTGCATCCACTGATAGGGGTTCAAGCAACTGCAAAATCACAAAGGGATTTGTTCAGAGGGAAAAGGACCAATTAGAATATTTTTTGAAAGGACATCTGGAGGTGATTGAGTCCAAACCTCCAACAAAAGAAGGACTATAGCTAACACCAGATCAGGACATTAAAAGCCAGTACTTGAGCACCAAGCTCTCTACTCACTTAGATGAAATCTAGAAAACTGTAGCAGGAACTGTACATTCATAAATCTTTATCCTTAGGAGGCCTAAATTAATTCTTCACAATCAAGTTCATGTGTTGCCAAAGCAACGCCTGAAAGGTTTGTGAGATCTAGACATAACAGGACTTTTCTTGGTGGAAGCTCACTTAATTGTTCCTCCAACCCTTTCTCTTCAGAGCCCAGAGAGGCCCAGATAAACCTGCTTTACATGAACTTTCCTCCCCCATCAGAAAGGAAGTGCTACAGTGAGAAATGATGCTTCTTACCCAACAGCTGCTGCTGCTTTCTGAGCCAGCCAGTGTTACTGTAGCTGCTTGTTACATATGAGAACGGGACAGGATGCACAAATCAAAACAGTCAGACAGGCGTGAAAGAGAGAGAAGCAACACGGAAGAAGCCAACCAAATCAAAACATGGAATAGCCATCCTGGCAGGAAAAGCTCTCTGTGTCAGAGTAGCTTGTCTGCTTCCTGCCTCCCAGAAAGTCAACAGGAAACACCCAACCCACTATATACATTTAAAGTCTAACTTAAGAGAAAAAAATCTGGGAAGGTATTGTTTATTTTGATATTTTAAACACATCCAGGTTCCTGATTTCACTGACAAAAAAGAAATCTTCATTTATGTTGTCCRTGGCAGATCAGAGCAGGGTTTTCCTAGAATATACGTACATGCTGTAAGTGCAATAGTGCCTGGGAAGAAAAACCAAAGCCAACTGACCACTAATAACTTCATGGAATGATTCCTCAATTTTCATATCAGATTTAACTTTCTGTTAACTCCTGGCTTCTCATGCTTTTCTGTTGKTTTTTTTTCTTTTTTTTTTAAGTCCATTTTACCTTCCCGATTTGTCCTATTTACTGCACATAGCTAAATGTTACAGTTATCCTGTAACTTCTCTGTAAATTTTTCTTAGGGGAAAAACCCCACCAGACAAAAAAACCAACACCTCTATGTACCTGCAGTACTTTAATGAATTTCCTTTTTTAAAGAACCATCAAGACATTTGATAGCTAAAGATGCTCTGGTTTTATAATGCTATGTAGGGTGCATACTTTTCATAGCTTCCTGCTGCAAATGTTTTCACTGATTTGCATGATTTTTCTGTTGAACCACCTGGTGATGGTGTACCCTACTATCTTTAATCACCCCAATTTGTCACAAATCAAACCAGAATTTGATCCACTCTCTCCACTGGAAAGACAACCAATCTACATACATATTTGTGACATTTGGGGTTTTCTTCCCAATACTGAATAATATGCCAGGCAATAAACTGTGAGAACGAAGCTTTCAGAAATACCAGTTTAATGAGCTAAGCTACTACAAAATGYCATCCACTTACTGCAGTTCCAGGCTCTGTCCCACAAAAATTATGGTTCTTTTTAAAAATAGGCACAGTGCAAGCTGCATAGTGCCATTAAGAAATACCAGCAATAATCACAGATTTGGAAAAAATTGCTGAATATCATGCTACCCATCACAGAATTACAAAGTGCACTGACATGAGCAGTTAGCTACATCCCTTTCCTTGTGTCAGTGTAACCTCATTAAACCTGATATTTCTCTCRCGTTTGTCTTCAGTACATTGTTCTGATCACAGCTTCATCACTCTTCAAGCCACTTAAAAAGGCATTACACATCTAAAACCAGAGTGCAGTCATTACACTACWGCTTCAACAGCTACTCATGTATAATTCAACCACTTTTTGCTCTGAATTAGCTTCTTATTCAAAAGATCTGGTCTAAATGTTCTTTTTTCTTAAAATACAGAGCTTGGCTATGATTAGAAAGGTAAGGTTCACTATAGCTAAAYACTAACAAAAACCTTTAAAATGCTATTTTAGCAGTTTAAGTGCTCAGCATTCATCCTGCTCATTTACAGAATATACAAAGGTTACAGTCAGAGTGGAGGCAAACCTGAAGCAAAGCTAAAAGCAGAATGTAAAATTTCCCAAGATTTGCACTAATTACCAATGAAATCCCTCCAAAAAATTCTATTGTGCCAAAAATGGCATAACACCATTATCCTTCATCCATTTTCATAGTTAGATCTGAAGCTATTAGAAAATCCATTCAATATTGTTATAAAAATCTTAAGACTCACTTTTATTTTTAAAAGTAACTGAAAATTAATACAAGTTCCACTACAGGGTTCTGTTACCACTTGCATTTTCTTCATTCCTAGGTATAAAATTAGCTATGTCTGTAGTGGATTTATCAGTAAAATCCCTCGGGAATTTTAAAAACACATTTGGTTTTACCTTCACATCCAATAAAAAAAAAATTGCAACTTTGACAAGGACAGAAGACTGGAAATCCAGCTATAATCTCCTGCAAACGCTCCCAAGTTTACAACACAGTCAAAGGCAAACCAGATGCTATTCCATGAATGAACAGTTAAATCCCAGTGTAGAGAAAAAGCAGAGGAGCTGGGTGAGAAGGTGCTATGTGTATGCTCTAAACGTACTTTCAGTGACTTTTATTTGCTACCAACCATCAACATGAACCTCAGGAGAGGAGATAATCAGCATTTTCTTCARTGTAATTGGTGAATAACACCTCCACATTCTGAAAATGTGGCACTGATGAGCAAATGCTGAAGGCCAGGAAAGAGCTTTCGTAGCACACCAGGATGAGCAGTAGAATTGCAGCAGAGACTGAGGTTTCTAGAGCTTACAATATTAGTTCCCAACACAGAGAGCAGTATCAGCATGCTGAAGTTCTCAGTCTACACAAATTTTACTGACACAATTTCCTTTTATTAACATAGGCCTACATTTGCCTGCTTGGGGGATTTTTCAGAAGATGAGTAAAATTGTAATTGGCATGTGAGAAAAATGCTAGGTATTACCTGCTGTGGGATAATAAAAAACTGTGCAGCACAGTATCTTCAGTTCTGAACACAGTACAGRCACAGACATGTCAAAAGAGGCATTATATGAGATAAAACACAGCCTCAAGGCTATGCTGTAACCATGATTCAAGTGTTTGTTCACATAATACCCCCTTACATGTTTTCTTTTAAACCAGTATAAGAATTTTTACTCTTCAGCAAGATGTACTTCAAAATAAAATTTGGCACTTTTATTACTATGCTGGAATGTCATYTGTTTTTACACTGAACTGGGAAACTTTTGCTTTCTGTTCATTTATTTTGCCAACARTTTTTACATTCAGTAAATTTTACCTTTGACACACACACCATCTTTTCTCAAATACATGAACAGCATTTAGCTCAGGGCCAGGCTCTAAAGCCTGCCCAAGCTAGAGTTTCCCTAGCAGCCAGAGGAAACACATACAGAGAGGTGCTGGAAATTCAGATCTCAAGAATTAAGCTGCAATACGCAAAGGATTTTACAAAGGTAGGCTCAAGTCCTGCAAAATCCCTATAGATAAGCCCCAATACTTTGACCTCATTAATTAACCTTATTAGTCATTGCTATCTTTAAAGAGACTTGTTAAGGATATACACTACTTTCTTACTGAAGCAACAGTGGGGAAACTGTTGGACATGCACAAGGCAGGAATACAGCACAGTCCAAGTAGGACAGCGTTACAGTGGCCTTATTCAAGAACTGCAAATTACTGGAAAGTTGTTTCATTTCGTTAGTCATTCACCACCAAATAAAAAGTAACTGCATGTGGTACAACAGCCTTGTTTTTTCTTTGAGTGTGCATACATATATATATATATATATATATATATATATATATATATATATATATACACACATACAAAATTTGAATACGAGAAAGGTAGCTCATTACTTCTTCCATCTAGTCCATGTAGCTCAAACTGTAAATCTGAGAGTGGCAATGTCACTTCTACCTACCCTTTTATCATTACCGAGAGTGTATTTTTCTACCTAATCATACRCAAAGACACTGCAGAAAATTTTTCACACAAACACCTCTCATTTGTCAGCCAGGTGGGATAGAGTAACACCAAAGTAATACCTTGAAAAACTCCTGATGCTATCTCAGTTTTGTTGAATAGTTTTTCAAAATGTCCACTTAATTKCTATTTTTTATAATTTAAACCTCAGTCAGAGTCTGGACAGAAGCGGCTGCAATTTAAAGCTGTTTCTCCAAAGTAGATTACTTGCAGATAATCTAAAAAGGCACACTGTTATAAGATGGTTCCATTTTTTTTTAACACTGCAGGAAAACACCAGCATCTTTCCTCCCGAACTTTCTTCCTCCTCTGCAATTTAACAAACACTTCCTCTGGAAAAGATTCCATTTACAAATTTTAGCCATCCTTRACTCCGAGGCTGTACATGCCCAGASAGGACCAAGTCACATATGTTTTCCAACCTCAGAAAATTTTCAGGAAATTACATTTAGACAATTTTCAGTTTTTCAAATAAATTACATAAAAAGCAAGAGAGAGAAAATTGACAGCAAAATAATGAATTCAACATCTGACATGCAGCTGCATGCAGCTAACCTTTGTGTTTCCCTTTTTTCTCCTTTCTGGTGCTGCTACTCTGACAGCTCGCAGCTGCTGCCTTGGATTTTTTAGTAGTTTTCGGAGCTTGGGCGTCCACTACCACCTTTACATCTTCCTGTTCAGCCTCCTGCACTGCTTCAGAGATTCAGGGTACCCCACCAAAAACGGAAATAAAGAGAGAAGAGAGAAACAGAGAGAGAGAGAGATGAGAGAATGAATTGAGAATTTGTGAAGGCATAAAAGAGAAAGCAAACATAGCAGTTTGGTATTTCAGACAATTCATGCAGTAAGGAGAGTCAAGTAAACCAGAATTTGCAATAAACATCTGAAAGTGTTAGGTTAGCTGGGTTATATTTCCTCACATTTTCCTCCCCACAATAGTATATCGATTCCTAACTTTCAGTCCAAAAGTGACAACAGAATATTGTCAGAATATTATTGTGTTACTGAGCTATTGTAGGAAGCATTTTTCCTCATAGTAAAGCTCTGCCAGAATGATTATCAAAAGCGGCAGCATGAAGGCAGAAAAGTTTTATTTTGACTTTGCAGCATGCAGGCTTAAAGCTGCATCCTAACTCTCTAAAGAAGGAATCATCTGAAGGTTACTTCCAAAACACATCCTGCACAATTGCATAACACAGCATGATGAGTAGATTGCCCATGCATTCCGTGGTGAAACTATACTCAAGCTGAATTTAAAAATTCTTCCTACTTTGTAGCATACACAGATTAATCCCTTAGAAGGAGTCTGTACAAAATATGCATGGCACAAACTGTAAATGTTGGCATAATTCCTGCAATGGTCCTTGTTTTCAAAGTAAAAAGAGGCTTTATCATTTTCCTAAATGCATGACAACAGTATGAGGTCAATATCTGAGTCTGTGAAAGCAATGCACATCGTAACTCTTTCTTCTGGCTAGACCAAACCTTGAAGTTAGATAAATTCAGAGCTGCCTTCGTGAAATGTATAAAGCAAGTGTCAAGGTGTGGGTGGGCACTAAGAGATTTTGGGGATGGCTGCTGGTCATTGGTAAGTGCTAAGTCCCACTGGCTTCATGCAGTGACCATGGTTTCTCTCCCTGGCACATGGGCCGCCCACCCTTTCTTTTTCCCAAAACTAAAGTATTTTCTTTAAAAGGATWAAAAAAAMCATCCACTAAGGACCATTACTGGAAAGAACTGGTTGTCCTAAAATTACTTTAAAAATACCCAGAAAAACTTATTAAACATCCAAAAGACTGTGTGATTCTCAATGACGTGTGGACTGACACGATTCTCTCTCTGAAGGGGAAAATTCTCCCTAAGCTTCTGATCTGTGAAGCAACTTTCCTCTTCAGCAAATCCTTCAAGCGCGTGAATGGAAATAGAAACGCCAAGGAGATTCTCAGAGGAGAAAGATGAAACAGATTTAGTCATGTCTGTGTAGACTGTAGCTCCCCAGCCCGCTGCTACCCTCCCCAGCACAGCAATCTGTTATGAGCACATTGCATTCACAACACAGCCAGCACCTGAGRCTCTCAATAAGCACATGCTCCTTTTCTCACTGTGCAGAGGAGGAGTTCCAGTTCTACAGAGAATATACATTAAATTACTGCAGRAGCGACCTCAAGTCCAAAGAAACAGCTTGTCACGGCCTTATTTTTCATGTCTTTGTCAAACACAAATCACAGGACTGCAATCCCTTTGCTGAGTGGAAAGGAGCACTGGAAATGAGCAGGACAAAATCAGAGTGCACAGGATGGCAGGGACAACGGCACATGAAAGTGCACTGGGTCCTACTTTCATGGTCATGGCAGCCTCACACCAAGCAAGGAGTCCCCTCCCCACAGTTTTTAAACAGGTGTGATTTGCCAACCCAGCACCTTTGCTGTATTTGTACCTCWGTCTCTCTTTGAAAACTAGACAGTGTTTCTTTTAATTGTTTTGTAGATGATAATCCACGTTATAATTAAATTCAGTGTTTTACAAATTACCTGTATTAAATGGTCAGACAGTTCTCTAAATCATTTTAAATCTGGCCATATTCATTCACTCAGAAGAAGCACCATTTACTTGGTCCAAAGCAATGATTAAGCAGCAATTGATGAAACTTTCTGACATTATTAATTGCCGAGTTAAAGATTTATCTTCACTATCTTGCTAGCCAGCCTTTAATCTTACAAGTAAAGCCCTGAAGTTTTTTGAGTTACTTTTGCCTCAAAACTTTCAGCAAGAGGTGATTGTTTGTTCAGTGAGGGAGCTCCAAAGGACAGAGAAGGGAGTATTTCCATCACTTTATAGGGCAGAGAACAGAATTTCAGCCCAGAAGCTATTTTGAGCCTATACCTTCACTGCTGTCTGTGATAAATAGGGCTTTCAGGCACAAGTGATGGAGGCTGCAAAATAAGATTTAAATCATAATGATTTAATAATGGTATTGTGCCCGGGTTCATGAAAGGAGTTGGCACAGCATGTCCTGTTTCTAAAGGATACATTTCTGAGCATTACCATTACATTTAAAATTATACCTCTATAATAAATCCAAATTTAATCCCAGCATGCCATCTCCATCACAAACCCCTCATTCTTAGCTTTTAGCTTTCTGGTAAATAGCAGACCTTGGCTAAGGTTCACCCACTCAGTCATGTTTTCTCTGGTGTTGTCTCTGCAGATACCAAAGAAAGTTTTCTTTCTGTACAAATTCAGCTCAGGACAGTTGGTTATATCCTTGCATTTAAGCCCAGGGAAAGCACTGCATGCCCTGCCCATAAACTCTAAGCTCTCCAAGCAGCTGCCCACTGCAGTGAGCGGGAAGGGGAGGTTCACACAGCACAGCAGCTCCTGTCAACATGCCAGCCAGGATTTGGATCCCTGCAGCCTGCAAACCTACAGGGACAGGTCTGTGAGCCTCCCCTGCTCAGTGGGTCCAGCAGCCTTGGATGTGGAGCAAAGTAAAAAACACTGTCTTCTGTTTCCAGTGATTKCTCCTATCCTGGAGAGTTGGAAGAGGAACCAACTGTCCTTGGTTCTAAGCCCTCTGTAGTTGCCCTGCAGCTGGTCATTAGCATGTGCAGCTTTGAACTTCTCAAACCAGCACTCCTTGTCATCTGCTTTGTGGAGATGAAGCTAGTCAGAGAGGCAGTGTTTATCCCCAGCCACGCTGTCAGGGGATCAAATGTCCTCCCCTCTGCCCTTTACTGCATCCTTGGATCATTATCTAACAGACTGACAAGAATTTCCCTTCTCAGCAGGATGGAAACCCTGAGGTTAACTCTAGCCTGCATTCTCCATGGGCTCTAGATAGCCCCATAAAACAATTTACAGTTCTCTGCAAGAAAGCCCGAATAAGGAAAATGAGATAAACTGGCTCCCTAAATAATATTCACTGATACAACAATATGATTATGTCCTTCGCTGGAGATCAAAAAGCTAAAAACAGTGATGGGCAACACCACAGGATAAATACATTAAAAACCTTAAATGGAGCTATACGCGGATGAAGTTTCAAAAACTGTCAYGCAAAAATGCATTAATTTCAGTACAGGTAGATATTTAGGCAGTTTTAAAAATCTCTATTGACAGTTATCTTAAACAGTTGGAGAGTAACATTTGAAAGAGTACAGTTGGAGAGTACATTTGAAATTCTATCCTGATACTTCATATGTTCCACCCCAGACTATTAAAATCTTCACTTAAAAATCCAGAGATTTTCCTTTTTTCTAAGAATTATTCATTTGTACTAGAATTTGCATTCAGAGAAGAAATCTGCTGGACAAATCTGCTGGACTCTCAGACCCASTGTTTCATCATAGTTTGAACTTATAAATGGTAAAAAATAGTTTTGAGATAAATGTCAAGCTTACAAACAAAACAACTTCATGACTTTCATTTCAGTGTTATTCATCCATGTCCTTACATCAAGTACTGACTACTAACTTCAATAAAGTAATAAAAAGAATACTTTTAGGGAGAGAGAAAGCAGCACAGATTGCAATATTAATTCAGGATCTGAGATGAAAAGAGAGGAGGAACAAACAACAAATAGTCTGTTAACATAAGGTGATTATAGCAGGGCTCTGTCAAAGCAGAGAAGGGCAGTGTCCTAACTTTGCCTTGCACCACCAATGACCTAACTCAGAAAAGGGGAAAAAAAAGCCTCTCCCATGAACCAGATCTGTGATGGACAATACTCCAGCTTATTGGGATAAAGCTACAATGTACAATCAAATTAAAGGATACAGTTTGTAAGTATGTGAGCAAACTATGATGCAGGCAACTCAATTTCTTTTTCAATTCTGTAAATTACCCACATATATTTATATGAGTGAATGAAAATGAAAARCATGTCTTTCCATCTGGCCTTCACGATGAGAAGTTCACACAGGAAATTAGTTTCAAAGTAGCATGAATGAAAATGCAGATTTTTTTTTTTTGCCATTTGTACGACCGCATTTCTTGATATGAGTGCTTGCACACTCTTAGGATCTTAGAGGAATGAAAAACAATTATGAATCATAACTTACTAATCTCTATCACATAAAAATGCCATGTGCTAAAAAAAGGGTGCTTTTGATCAGTACATTATGTGAAGAATAAAGTAAATGAAAAATCACAAAAAGAAAAAGAAATTCTAAAATTGTGCAGTCTGTCTAGAAACCACTTAAAGTAAAAAGAGGCTGAAACCAGACAATGAAGTATGTGAGGCAAGTATAAGGCAAATACTCAATCCCATTTACCAACATCCTCTCAACAGTAAAAGTGAAACCCAGAATGAGCAGCTTGCAAAGAAAGGTAAACTACAGTTCATTCAGGCTGTACCTTAACAAATCAACATGAATTGGCTGTCCTTTCCTTACTGTTAYTGAGATGCTCCTGTGTTTCACTGTAGGAATGGGCTGCTGCTTCACTTTGTAAAGTTCTAGCCTTGGTCAGTCTGGACTGTTGTTCATCATTAGTTCATTTAATCCACTTAAGGCTGTGAACKAGTCTAGTATTTCTACAATCATTTAAAAGACACTGGAGTCTATCAGAAATATTCTGAAGATGGGCAAACCCACTGTATTTTACAATGCATATTCAATATTTTTATTAGTTCTACATAGACCATACAAATTAGTTAAATACAAGGACCTGAATTAGGGCAAGGACTTTGG